ATGTCAGAAATACCTTATTTAAAACCCTGATAGAGCAGTTCCAAAGCATTTCATGGTTTGTTTCATCTCCTGCTACTGAAAACAGGCAAGTATGTAAAAATAATCTGTTCTCATTGATGTTAAAACCAGCTTTAAAGTTCATGTAAAAAAATTTAAGTGATCTGAAAAAAAAAGCCTTACAATGATTTTTGGTTGCAATCTTAAGGTCATTTGACATCTGTTACTTTGATTGTTTGGCAATAATACGAAGATATTCTTTCACACCTGATATATGTAAATGTATATAATTTACATTGTTAGCTTTACTTGTCTAGGTGACTGCTTTAAGAAATTCTGCAAAACTTCCATGATTGAAAGATGGGTTAACAGGATAACAGATATGTTAGGTCCATCCTGCTTTCAGAGGGAGCTCAGGTCACAAAAGCAGCAGACTGGTGCTCAGAGAAGAGTACCAGACTGTTCCTGTTCCCTAAATGTCTGTAAGGCAAGTCTGGCCCTCAGCTGCAGCTTTGTGCCACCAAGGGCAGGACTGATGAGAGCTTCAGGCAAAAGAGATTCTCACCTATTCCTGCAAGAGGTACTGTTTGCATAACGTTAGCAACCATCAAAAGCAGCCACACAACAGCCCAGTTTGAAAGAGACTTTCAGGGGTCATTGAATTCAGCCTCCTGCTCAAAGCACAGCTCCAGCTCTGGGCAGGTGCATCATGACACAAACAGGTAGGGCTGTGGTTGGTCACCCTGTGGAGAAATATCCCATTTCACATCTGGCACACTGTAAACAAATGGCTAATCCTAAAACAGAGTAAATTAAATGTGTGCTTAAACACATTTCAGTGATCAGATTTTAAGGTATTTGAGGCTAGATCCCGCTAATAACCCTTCATAAATAATTAATTACTGTGGCAGGTCCCCACAAAGTTATTTTGGTTTTGTACCCTGTACACATAAGTTCTGTCCCTCAGAAATTTTTTAATTGCACAGAACAAAAGACTGATGGAACAAGAGAGCTTCAGGGGCAGGGGGAAGATGACTTTTGGTTCATGGAGTGAAATCAGACTGCCACTTAAGATACAAACCAGTAAGTATAATATTGCAAAGATCTTGCATGTCTTGCCATGTGAGGAAAAAAACATGATACCTTTTTTACTGAAAAGTGAGAGCTGAAATGCAGGATAATTTAAAACACCATTTAAAATTATGTTCTAAAATTAGAAGGCAGAAAACATTAAGATTATTAGGACTATTTTCCTGAGTACTTTAATTATCTCTTTCACTGGTTTCCATTACACCAGGATCAGGAACCTGTTCCATCCCTTAGTCCAAATGACTTGCTAAAATGAACCCCAAAAGGATACATTATAGATATCTATATTTAAATACAGTGTGTTGATGGAAGTATGTTCAAATTTTTTATGTTTACATTTTTATAATATTAAAATAAATTACCTGACTCATTTCAGATTGCTTTTCATCCTCTGTTTGTGTGAGAATCACCTTAATCATAAATTATAAACACCAATATAGTGTTTTGCCACCGGTTTAATTAACTACAATGTACTTCAATTCAGTGGATTGAAAAAGGTCAGTTTATCAAAACATTCAAACTTTAAAAATGTATGTCTCATCAGGAAGGTGAAAAGAATTTGTAAATAATGAGAGAGTATTGTTTTTGCAGGTCTATTCACAACTTAGAAGTCATAGAATTAGTAGCTCTTGCCCTCTACATCTACTTTATTTGGAATGGAAAAGAAAATTTGTGTTATTGCAAATTCTGTGTTGTTTCAGAGCTCTGAATAAACAGCTCAATTGGATGAAACAGTTCACCTGAAATGAAGGAAAAAGCTCTCCCTCAACCTGAGCGAAAGAACACTTTTAAAAGGCATTAATAAAAAAAGGTATAATAAAACTAAGAGGTATGGCTATGAAACAAAGGGGTCTTTGGCCTTCTTTAGCACAGAGAATGCCAGCATAGCTTGCTGCAGTGTCCTTACAGCATCAGGCCTGCTCCTGGGGGCAGCACTGGGGGAGATGATGGATGGAACATTTCCTCAAAGATATCCAAGCAGCAGAATGGGAGCGCTTCAGTTTCCCACAGCTCACCGGACTGACAGGTGTCCATGCCCTGCCTCTGTCTCTCCTGCCTCCTTCCACCCCCCTTGTGCCCTGCCATTGCCCAGCCCAGGACTCTGGGACCTCCCTGCCAGCTGCCCAAGCCCTGCTGAGGGCTGCACAGCCATCAATTTAAAATAAACAGAGCATTTGCCTGCTCGGGCTGCTGCTCCCTTCCCTGCCTGTTCCTCTGCCCCATCGCCCCCGTGCTGCCCAGCCTGCCCCGCCAGGTCTGTCCCTGCTCTGTCCCAGCCACCATCCTGCCCTGGTTCCTCCACATCCACACACGCCCTTCAGGCTGGTGCTGCTGAGGATACAGAGCCAAGCCACAGGGAGAAGCACTTCCCAGCCAGTTTGTTTGCTTCACCCGGCTGGAGGACACATTTCCGTGTGTTTGGGAGTCAGGAGCTTCACCTTGAGCTCACCATGTCTGAGCTTCTGACATGGCTATTTCTCCAACCACCATAGATTAGCCAAATTCTTCTCCAAGCTTCCCCTGTCAGGATGCTGTCCCTTTCCATTTTAGTTTTCCAGCTGCCCACTCTCCTCAACAGCGATGTTACCAGGAGGGAAGGAGCCAGAGTTCACTACTGCCAGAAAATGCTTGTAGGGGGCCACCATATCCAAACCACTGTGCCAGAGAAGGAAACAGAGGCAGCAGCTAGAGAATGCTAAGGAAAGCACCTCTAGCCTCCAGGATGTCCTAGGCCTTTCTGCCAGTTTCCAGGAACTTGTGTGTTCCTTCCAACTCAGGCTACTCTATGATTCTATGATTCCATGAAATTGTCTCACAACAACCCTCTTTCTGAAGGACAGGGAAAGTTTCCAAACCCAGCTTCTGAGATCTGTTGGGAGAACAAACCTTTTATGTTTGTCCCTGTGTTACAGAAGGCAAAGAAAATGCAACCCTCCTCAGTATAATTTCAAGTTTGGAAAAATAATCAGAGTTCCTTAAATCTTTTATCTTTCTTCAGATCATAGAGAACAAATGTTTACAGCTGATTCCACATGGCTTTTTATTTTCTTCCCAGGAGAAATTAGATTTCACAGTTGAAGGAATTGAGCTACAACCAGAAAAAAAGGGAGGTTATCATACCTTGCAGAATTTTGTATACAGCACAAGCCACTCTTTGCACTTTCTGCCCTGAAGAATCATCCATCCCCTTCAGCACAGCCATGCAAGCATGACCTGACTCAGCACAAGAGACTCTGCTCACAGAGGAAGGGCATCCTGTGCAGAAAAAAGGCAGTACAACACAGACATATTTTATTCCTGGACCAGTAACCTTGTTTAAAAAAAAAAAAAAAAAAAAAAAAGAGAGAAAGAAGAGTTGAACATTTCATCTGGCATAATTTCTTCTGTTATGGTTTCTTTTCCACAAGTGAAAAAAGAGGACCATTGTAAAGTGGATCTGGACAGGAAATACTTTAGTTTCACTGTCAAGATTTTTTTTTAGAGATTGAAATTGTTTTCTTTCTCAAATTGTAATGAAAAGCCGAAATCTGGGTAATATGTTTTTAAACTTCTGCCAGAGCACTGCAGTAATGAGGTGACTTATACATGCTGCAGTGTAAGCAGCTGCTCCTTCAAAGGCTTAATACTCTCCATTCTGTTTCAGAGAAACAAGGGATGTATAGGCTTTTTTGAGTCTTTTAGGTGTTTCTTTTCACCTGTACTTTTAACCTTCTATTGCACTCTTAGAATTAGGTCATGTGCTTGCTACAGGCCCACAAAGAGACAGAATGCATGCTTTTATATCACAGGGTGATCCAGTATGTCATTCACTCTGCAAGGGCATATCCACAGGCACCAAGTACCTAAATTGAACAGATTATTTTTTTCAGTTAATTACCTTAGAATGAAGAGCATGTGTCTTTTATCAAGAAAACAAAATTTTAACGACTATATTTAACTGTACTCATTATTCCATTATATAAATATATGTGATGAATCATGTAGGATTTTACTGTTTCATAACTTGTATTTGATATATTTAACATCTCTCCCTGCATTTCAATACAATTTATTAACAAATAAGTGTTGCAAGGTGCAGTTTAAAGAACATATGGTTCTAGTATTTAAATTAAATTACATATTATGATAAATCCATATAAATACATATTATGATAAGTCTGTACTCATTTCTTGGCATAGCTTTGTCAAACCCAGAGACTGTTGTGCTAGTGTTTGCACAAGTAGTAATGGAAGTACTTGGCCTATTTTCTAAGCCCCACTAATGCAGGTTTTAGTCATTCCATGTGGCTTCAGCTGATCCTGTCTGGGCTCTCAGTGGTCACAGTGTCAGAGCTGATGTGGATCAGGCACCTGCTCTCACATGCACAATGTTAGCAGCCCAGGCACTTCAAGCAATTGATCTGATTAATTCAAGCACCAGTAGGTTAAGATGTTTCATAAAGATCACACAGTGACAACCCCAGGAAAAGGACCTGCAAGAAGTGCTTTAAAAGAAAGTAGCTGAAGTTCCATCTGCCCCAACCTTTTTCCTGGCCTCCTGTACCCCTGTGAGCCCCATCAACTTCAGTGGGAATGACAAGGTTTTTTTACATTTTCTATCAAACCTGATATTTTAATTGCATTTACAGCTTCTCTAAGCTATGATTAACTAACTTCTGTCTTCATACCATTCACTCCTGCAGTCAGTCAGGGCAAGTACCTGCCCTGTAATGCCCAAGAAATTTTCTGAAGGGAGGGGACTACTCCTCCTTTTCCTCCTTTACATATAAAACATATAGAAGAAAATGATTATACGTTCATTATTACAGTTTCTATAGTTGTTTTTATGTTAATGGTAATAAAATAGTAATAATAAATAGTGTAAGTTAATAATAACAATGAAAGTAATTGTGATGTTATTTTAGGGAAATGTAATGGAGAAGAAAACAATTCTAGAAGAACATTTAAAGAAGTCACAACAGAAGTAAAATATCACCAATCAATTACAAGAGAAGATTCTTTGTTCTGACAAAATCAAACATTTCTGATTATGAATATGGCAAAGGCATATGAAATATATTTTCAAAAGAAGCTATTTTAAGATTTTCCAGTGCCACTCCCATTTTTTTCTATGAAACTTGATTAGATATTGTGTGTTAGAACAACAAGTGTACTTTGTTTTGAGTTGAATTATAGGGAATCAAATCCTAGTTTCATTTCAGGAGAACACTTATCTGTAGACTTAAGAGTGTTTATATTCAAAACAACCCCTACAGTTGTGCTTACCATTGAGCATCTGTTTGTGTCCTTCCAAGGAGGACTTAAGCAAGTAATTAACATTGACATATGTTTACACACTGCCTTGGATAGGGATGTTTTCCTTGTTGAGGCTTTGCTCTCAACTCATGTAAATAACTGGCTTCACAATTTACCTGTATGAGGTGTAATTAGTGCAGAATCCCATCCCTCAGCTGCACAAAGCAGATGGTTAAACTATCCTTGTTTCCTAGGGAATGGCTGTATATCACAAAAGGTTGGCTTTTCACTCAAAAGATCTCTCATTGGGAATATATGTTCCAGGCAATTTATTTTAATTCTTTTGTTCCTTTTCATACTTTTGAACTCCTGATGTGAGTCACAACCCATTACATAACTGCAGGGAAGCCCACTGAGAATAAACTCCATTACTTTGCCAAAATTGCAAATGCCACAGGTAGGCTTCTGGCTTGCACTTAAGGTGTTTTCCCCTTAATTCTTCCTTGTTTTTCTCCTATTCCCCCCTTCTGCCCTGCCCTCCTGCAGCTGAAGCAGATGCTTTCTCAGGTGTAGGGCTGAGTCTTGTAACTGACTTAGAAAGGAATTTAATCCACATATTAGGTGCAGGTAGGGCATCAAGGAGATTTCTTACTACCTTTCTCTTAAAATTTGACAAACCTGAAGCACAAAATTATACAAAAATTTCCAACTGTAATACTTTATATTGTGTTAACATTAGGTCACAATCTGCTGTGGTTTTGTCTCTCTTAGGAAGAAAGTGAAGGGGGATCAATTAGGATTGAGAAAATTCAATTTGTTAAGACAGTGAATATTGAGGAAACAATGCCTCCTGCAAGACAGTATTCTTTTCAGGTTAGCCATGAAATTTGTTACGTTTATGTTTCTTGTGAAATACCCTAGTTATCCTAAGGTTACACGTTGTGTCCCTGTCCTAACCTGATACTGCTGAGTGCTACTGATACTAATACTTTATGGTTGGACACAAAGGTTTTAAAGCTCTTGTCCAACCTAAACAATTCTGTGATTCTAAGATATTTACAGCATCTTAGTGAAGATGCAACTTTCCTGAAATATTTTAACTGATTGTCATGGAATTTAGATCAGGTCTTGTTTCTTTCATGTTCATGAATCTATCTATATACTTGCTTTGATTTTATCTGGAATACATCTGTGTGATTATCATTTATTTTGAAGCAGAATTGAGCACATAAAATTCTTATTTTAATTCTCTCTGTCAAATTCCACTCCTCTTTTTTGGTCTCAACGCCAAAAGCAGGATCTGCCCCTTGACTTCCTGATTACTATTCATTCAGGAAATCCCAGGCTGTGCCTTGTATCAGAAGATGCAGCTGCACAAAGCATATTTGTTCAAAAACTAAATGTCACTAGAAAAGCGTAACATCAAATTTGCTGCCTTTCATCAGTTTCAGATGCAGGACTCAGGTTCCTCCTGGAGCCTCCATCAATCCCAATTCTATGGGCAATGGAACAGATGTGGAAGTGGTCACAGATTCCTTGCTGGAGTGCCAGTGTCAGACTGCCCCAGCACAAGCAGCAGGCAGCTACAGTGAGTCACAGGTTACTGAATAGTGCATTAACTCATGACCCTGCAATAATTCCCTTGCCCAAGAGCAGGCCCATGACAGATACTTAACATTTAACTATGTGGTTGATCCTAGCTGTCATTCCATTTTCCTTCTCCCTCCCACAGTGTTGTGACACCAAACGACACATCTATGTTAAATTAGTGTATTCATGTCAGGAGTGCAGAATTCAGTAAAATAGGGGAAAGTGTATGCTATAGTGGGAAAACAGTGTTTCTAAAAGAGACTTTAGGATCCTGATAGCCAAACATAAATTCCTACCCTGATGCTGTGGCCAAAGCAGCTAATGGTCTCCTTGGACATGGAAACAGGCACACAGTGAGTAAAAGCACTCGACATGTTTTGACACTGCTGTATTCAGCAAGAGAATATTGTGTCTAGTTCTGGTGACTATAATCGAGGAAAGATGTTGAGAGTGAACAGATGTCAAAGGAGAGGCTTGACAATGACTAATAGATTGGATGGATAACATGTCAAAGAGAGGAGCTCACAGGGCTCCAGCATCTCACTGCATAAGGAGAGGAAGCACACTGATCGATGGGTGTGTACTCACCAGTGGGAGTAAACATTTAACAAGAGCCCTTTGGGCTAACATACAAAAGCAGTAAAGTGGCATTTGAAATTCTGTGCAGATGAGTGAAAAACAATGTACACAGGGGAAATAAAACCCTGACCTAACACAGAGACAGCCCAGTACTAAAGGTGATCTAAAAATCAAAGCAGATGTTAGTAATTATCAGGTGGGCATTGGAGGAAGATAGGCTGAAAACAGGCCAAACAAGCTGATTGTTCATATTGTCAGTAGTTGTTAAGCTGTAGGAACACTTACTGAAGGATGTTATAGATTCTAGTTATCTGCCTAAAAGGGTAACAATGAATTCAGAGTAGAAATATATCTCTCAAGGGGTATTAGGTATAACTGCACCACCTTTGGCTCAGGATTCTCGGACACTGTACAGCTGCCTGGAGCAGATATTTTTCCTCAGTATTTATTATTGGATGCTGCCAGTGACAGGTTCCTGGCCTTGATGAGTGTTTGATCTAGCCTGGTGTAACACGAGCCAGAAGCTGGAGGACAAATGTGGAAAACTGAAGTGGAAAGAAATAGTTTGCATGTGGACTATAAGGTGTTTGTACAGAAATGATGGGAATATACAGAAATATTTGATGACATCTTTTTTTTCTGTAACTGTTCTTTAGGACCCTTCAGCTAAGACAGTTCACATTTCTATCATTTAAATTTATATCTTTTCATATGTGTATTTTTTTTAATATCATAGCTGCTATAAAATGTAGCTTTTAGTATAACCAGGGGGAAATAAAACACTAAATTATATCTGCCATGTTTGATCAAAAAGTTAGTGACATTTTTACCTACCAAATAAAAACTCATATCTTTTTTTTCCTAAACAATGTGATTTCATTGTGCAACTTATTTTAACATGATTTCTGACATGTTATCTGTACAATTTAGTTGCAGGATTTTAGTTTTTATCTGTATAGACCTAGAGTGGACAACAGGACCCCCCTAGGTACCACATTTTCAGAAGAGAATTTCCTAATGTCTGTGCAGGTGCTTAACACTGAAAGACCATGTTTGGTAGAGAGAACAGCAGTTTATGGATATTTGGGCTTCAGCCTTCTAAAGTTTGATTATTTCAAATTGTAGAACACTGGTAGATTGGTTGGTCTTAAACATTTACAGTCTAAAAAAGTATGAACCAAAAATTAAAAGATAATCTAAAAATGTAGATGTGAGCAATTTGGAACTTGATTTTCAATTGTGAGACTGCCTGTATCAATTTTGAAAATTGAAATTTATGATGCCAGCTTATCTACTGTTACCACAGGTTTCATCATTATGGAATATTTAATAATGTACAGAGTTGTCAATTGATTTGTAATAGTAGTTTGAAGAGCTTCACGTAGCTTCAAAATCACTTGTTAGAACAGCAAATTAGCTCATGAAACCTCCAGACAGCTGCAAGGGCAAGAAAATACCCCATTACCAGTCATGGATGGCTTACCCAAGAACTAAAAAGAGAAGTTTTGCGTATTGAACATTTCAGTTATGTCAGATAATAATGCATGCATGATAATGTGCTCTATCCACCCTAAATTTGTCCCTAAAGAGGCTCCTGGTGTTGCTAATAGACTTGTGTGGAGCACAGGGAGACTGTCTCTGTAGGGATGGCTCCAAACAGCCTTGAGCTTGTGATCACTGTGTAATTGAAAGCAGTATGTCTTAATCACTGATTCATAGACTAGAAGAGTCTATGAATGAAAAAAACTTCAGCAAAACTGAAGCCAGCTGGACATGAGCCATTGTGTGCCCAGCTGGCCAAGAAGGCCAGTGCTGCTAGCAATACTGGCTACAGCCTTTGCAGCAATGTTGATTAAGTAAAAGGCTTATTTCCAGAGGGACCAGGGAATACCATCAAAATCAGCTCTCTAGTGTGTAGAAAGTCCCCATTCCTAGAGATCCCAAAATCTCCTCTCCACCACCCTCCTCAGTGAAAGCAGTTAGGCAGGGCAAACATTGTGCCTGTGAACAGCTATAGCTGCTCTGCAGGGTGAGAAATGGTACCAAGCTGCATTTCCCCCAGGCAAGTCCAAGCTGTGCTTTTCTGAGCTTGGGTCAGGAGCACAGATGCCTTCTTAGGAATGTCTGTTTAGCCCAATTTTACAGAGGCAGCCTCTAAGTTAATGAACTGGGAGGTGCATCTTTACGTTCTCTTGTCTCTGTCCTGACTTTATACCAGTCAGAAACCAAGAGTGTGGTGTTCCAGCATCTGAGAAAGGTAGGATTTCACAGACCCAGATACAAACAGGGCACCAGGATGCCAAAAAGCACTGCTCACACTCAACCTGAGCCCTCCAGCACAGCAGTGGTTTGGTCAAGGTCAGGAGCTGACAGAGTTTAGAATAGAAGAAAGCTTGAAGATTTTCTTCTCTGTTTATTTCCTCATCTAGCTGCTTCTCCTCCTGGACAAATGCCACAGCAATTGTGATATCTTTGACCTTAGTTTTACTGCCCAACTTAATTATTGACATTTGTAGGTGGGAAGGAGGCAACAATAACAATAAAAAGAGAAGAGACCAAAGCGTCTTAAGTTATGATTTTTTTATCTATTAAACAAAAGGACCAGGAGTAGGGTCTGACTGTGTATTCATACATCGTTACAAAGCCTCCAACAAATTTAACCAGGTTGTGTTTCAAATCATGTGATTTTTAAATCTGTATTTCCTACACTTTTTAAAATTTGTCTTTTCTGTATATTTAGATTTGGGTCTATTTCCCAGATTCCCTCTGTTAATCAAAAAGAAACATAAAGAAAAAAGAGAGCTGGAGTATTTATTTATGCAGTTGATATGAATAGCCAGAGGTTTAAGAGACACATAGATTGCCAAGAGACAGAAGATAAAAATCAAAAGACCTGTAAAACAGAGCTTTGAGAAGAAATAATAATAAAGCTTTAGAGAGAAGCTATGAACAAAGAAGCTTTTGACATTTTTTTTCTGATAGATTTGAAAGCAATAGCATTGTGAACATGTAGCAGCATAACTTGTTTTGAATATCATGGTCTGTTATGCCTGGGTTCCATCAGGAGGTGCTTTGTCTATCTGGAGAGATCATCGGTCATGCAAATCGGCTGCTGAGCATTCTGGACTCTGCTAAGCCTTTATGACTAATTTCTGCTATCTGCTTGAGTTCAGAGATGTTGTGAAAATGACAAATTTAAAAAGCAGGGACATGACATTTTTGTGATGGGTACTTCTAAAACAGGTTCAGTAAATGAAGCTATAATAATTACCACATCTGAGTAGAACAAATTACTACATTTTCCAAAGCCATGTGATATAATCAGGTTAAGAAAGCTAATACTGACTTTTCATGGTGAGGAGCAGTCTATATTTAGACACAGAGCTAATTCTATAAGCTCTCAGCACATTTTTATTTTGTCCTTTCATCTTTTCAGTTTGATGATCCGAGGTGTCACCATTCCCCCAGCCTTCTTTCTGCCTACCTCTCAGTTCATGTCCCTCACCTCCCCAGCTCTGCAAACCCTTCTCCCTTGCTTTCTTCCCAGGTGACCTGCAGTGTTACTTTTGTACAAGGCATTACTTTTGCACGCACATCCTGCACCTTTGATGCCTCCATTTCTTTGTCAGTTCAGTATTTGTACCTCTCGTCTCCCACAGAGGAGCTGGTGCCTAAAGAGTTTCATTACAAAGAATGTTGGGAACAAAAGGTCCCTTCATGGGGGCCATAGGGCAGTTCCTCTGTGCTTTGAGAACCACAGGAAGCAAGAGCTTCCTGCCTGAGACACACTTTCACCTCTGCTGGTGCCTGGCATCCACTGTCTTTGCAATGGACAATGGTTTGTGTAGGTCTGACCAATGCTGCAGCAGAGCAGAGGGAAGTTCACTGAGTGAACACACATATCTCCTCATTGTTATGTATTGGACAAGCCTTATGAAAGCTGAAATGATCCAGCACATGCTTCCAGATGTGAAATAGGAATGCAGCTCTGCAGATAATAACCATTCCTCATATGCTCATCAGAGCTGAATCTCAGACTCACCTGTGGCTCTCTGTAGATGGCAGAGGTACAGTCATCATTATGACAACCACAAAAATACCACTGTAAGCATAAAGGAAATAATAAGATCCACTCAGTTACTCAGGAAATGCTCTGGGGCTTTCAGCCAGTTTTGGACATGGAAAGCTGTATACATGGACACAAATCAGGACATTAATCTCTACCAGATTACAAATGAAGTCTGTCCAGAATATTGCAACAGTCAAATATACAACCAGCAGTGAAACACAGATGTGCTCATCTTGGACTGGTTCTTTTCCCTGGCAGGTTGGACAAAGAAAACTAATTTCCATTATAATAATTCTATACACAATTTACTTTTCCCAATGCTTTCTAATTTCTTCTGTTCATACAAAAAGATGAAAGTTCCATCAGAGGATGACACTCTGATGAGGTCAAAACCCACAGGAAATTGAAGGAGCAATTTAATCTTCAAAACTCTTCAAAAATTACAAAGGCCTAATATCAGAAATGCACATCAGCTCATAAATATGATTACTGAATATCAATTTGCTCTACCAGGTGCTCTAAAGAGACAACAGTTTAATCCCTGTACTATATTTTTTCCCATCTTTCTGACAACTGCAGGGGACTCTATTTCTGTCATTACTCTACAAAGCCACTAAGGCAGTCTAAGATTTGAGTCCTGCCTAACTCAGGCCCTCGGCTGTAAGATCCTTTCCACCAAAGTCAGATATGACCAACAGGAACCAAGTAGCATTATTTTCTGAGTAACAGATCTACTTCTAGTCAAGAGAAGAGGACTCTTCTGTGAGTGATACCTCTGTAAAGAATGAGTATCTCATTGGAGCTCAGTGAGATGAGATTGAGATTTGTTGCTTGCAGAAGAGATTATGTGTCTTCTGTCTCAGTGGATTCAACCCAGTTCTGTGTTTTCTTCTTATTTAAATTAAGAAAGGTTAATAAATAGAAAACAAGCATACATACAATGCCATGGTCACTTGGACTTGATTTAAAGGAATCTCAGCCTGCTGAAGGACACTTGGCTTTATTTCCTGACAATGCATTACAGTGGTTCTTTAGTGGTAAATAAATAGGTGGCATTTGCAGCCTTTTCTCCTAAGTCATTCTTATTTCTCTCATCCTTAGCTGACAATGTCTCAAGTGTAGTTTTTTCTGCTCTTAATTAAAGAATTGTGATGTCTGACATTTCCCCAATTTCTAAATGCACTTCAGAGCCTTCATTTTAGACAGGCTTTTGCCCATGATTTGATTCATGTCACCTAACTTTAATGCCAGGCTTCTCATCCAAGTCATTTGTGCACACATCCTCAACAATCCTTGATGAGAGGTAGACATTTCTGTAGGATGACATATTTCATGTGAAGTCATGGGTTAAAATCTCATAAGATGAATCCCATAGCCACATATCAATTTCATTCAGCTGTGCCCAGGCAGAGCTAGGCACCAGGGAGAGACATTCCTTATATCCAACATGCTTGGCAGAGAAACAGCAAAAAAAGCATGTAGAGGAAAATAAGTGATTTAGAATTAGCATAGCTTCTTGCTTCCAGTGCGTAGTAATAAACAGTTGATTAATGCTTGTTGTGCTTGATGATAACATCACAGTCGATCAAAAGCCATTAAAAAAAAAACTCCAAAATTATTTTTAAAATACTCTGAATGTATCTTTTGATACAACAGTACCCCATCACAGTTATAGTAAAGCCAAATTTGACCAAGTGGTGTCTGGAGTGCTGGAACTGCAACAGTTCAGAGAGATGGCAGGGTTGGGACACAGGTCTATCCCATAATTCTGGTAACAAGAGCCTCCTATTACAGCAGTGTCAGTCTTCCCTCAGAGTTAATTGCTTCTGGTGTCATAATCATAGAACTTGGTTTTGTCCTCGCCTGCCTCTCACATGTGGACAACAGTGGCTGGGCTGCTTTCCTCATCCATTCTAAATGGATAAAGGAAAAAACTTCATGCCTGTGCCCATCTTCTGAGCTTTGATTAATTTGATTAGTCATTATATATGTTTGCTATGTTGAAGATGTAAGTGATCATGTACATGTCATGTGTTAATTCTTATTTCAGCTTGTACTGCACCACCTTATCATTTATTTCATCAGTCTTCAAAATGGGAAGCGCAGAAGCCCGTCCTGCCCCCAGGGCTGCCACCAGACAAGTCAGCCCTGAATATGGCTGTGGCTCAATGCAACCATGAAGGCAGAGGAAATTCAGCTATCCAGCTTGTCAGAAGCAATAAATACTGTGTATCACAAGAAAATCATTCTGACTGGTGGAAAGTAAGGGATTTGGAAGGGTACATATGCCCTACAGAAAGATTTTGTTCCATGACCAAAATCTTCCACATATCTCATCTTCAAAGACAAGACTGCAGACAGCCCTGGCAGATTTCAGGATCTATGTTAGAATTACCTCAGTAGATTTAAACATTGCTCTACAAGCCTCATTGTCTTCTATACAGCTCCATTTTCATTGCCATCCTTGGCTGGCAGGTTGAATAAAATTTACAGCAGTCACTGCCTAGTGCAATAACTAAGATATCCAGTGGCCTTATTTTTCACAGGTGCCTGAAGAAGGACTTGTCTACTCAGAACACATACATTTTTTCCGATTATTTATTTCATGTGAATAAAAAGATAAAATCTCTCCTAACAAACGTTGCCTCTTGTGTGTATGCAAACCAGTTTTAGATCAGCACTATTACAATTGCAGTGTCAGAGACAGCATGGGAGACCTATGGGAACTGCTGAGGCACAAATCCTGTGTCACTTCAGTCTCTACTCAGCTTTGGTAATGCTTTTCCCCTAAGGCAGGGCATCCCTATCCTGCACAGGGTTTATTACTCTTTTAGAGGTTCAAAAATGGAGAAAGTCCCTTCAGCAAATTAAAATCAGATATTTTTTGTTAATATCCATCAGGGGCAGAAAAGAGCACATTTTCTAAGTTATTAAATGAGGAGCAGCTTCAGGAGTTCACTGGAGACCAAGGCAGTACAACAAACAGGAGTTGCCTAGAAGAGATAAAGTTCCTGGTGTGTCTCATGATGGATACTAGCTGAGTTTAATTTTGTGTGCTTGATAGAAATGTGGAAGGGAAGAATTTTTGAGCTAGGAGATGCTCAAATTGCTTTGGAACAGACTGAAATTACTTGATCTGCTCATAATTCCCTGATTAGGTTTGCAATTAGAAGAAAACCAACAAAAAAAGACACTAAACTTGAGGTGACTCACAAGACTGCATGCAGTTGTGGATGAAGAAAGCAGTACATGACCCCACCAACTCAAAGGAAAAGATAAATTGGTAAGCCAAGATATGCTCCTAAACACCTTCATTTATGGTTATGTAAAAATATATGATACAGTCAGATTTGCTTATGGAGCCTGATTAGAGAGCTCTAAGATGGATGAGGGAGCAGAGAGACATCCAGAGAAAGGCAAGACATGTACAGGTTTTTTTTCCTTTGGGTCAAGAAACTGAGACTTTTGCAGTCTTGATTGTATAAGGAAAAGTCACATATACACCAGAAAAAAACAAAATCTTTAAATTCTGCTTGAGGAAAAAGAATGAAGATCTCGATTTCTTAAATGTAGTAAGAACAAACATCAGGAGTTCAGTTTCCTTGTGCTACTGACATCTGTGTTAAAGGGAGTCTTCCCTCTTTGCCCATATTCAAATATGGGCAAATGCAATTTATTCCCCTCCCCTTTATTTTTCTGATGGCACGACATCCAGTCCACTATCTTAAACCTACGGATGCCTGATGGCCCCTAAAACACAAATCCATCATGCCTGAGTGCACCTCAGCTGTCCATATTCACTTAGCTTCTCAATTTCATCTGTCATTGTGCAGGGAAGAGAGCTGAGCCAACCTCCTGAGCCTGTGCTCAGCCTTGGGTAGTTTGCAGGCAGCCAGTAGTCACTGGTGTCCACCACACGCCTGAGACAGCAGATGAGGACATCCTGCAACAGCTGCTCCAGCCTCCCACTCCATTAAACCAGCCACAGAGGGAGAAACCATTCCAATGATTAGCAAAAAGAGCTCTTCATTGAAGTGCAACTTTCTAAAACAAATTGCTTCTGTATTTTTATGCATGGTAAGTAAAAGCAGAAATGTTTTAACCATGAGCATTTCTGTTAGTGGTGTTCTAAAAAATGGCTCTCTGATTAATCCCTTTTCCTGTTTTAAGAGACCAATTTAAGATGCAGTCATGTATGACATCTAAACAAGGAACTGCTTATCTTGTGAGAATGAAGGATTTTACCAAGTACTTACTTGAAAAAGCTGCCTTGGGATGATGATAAGCCAATATGCAGCCATTTACTGTTTTTATGTTTTCCATACCAGTCTAGTAAAGATTAGGCAACGCTTCTGGAATATTTTTTTTTTTTAAAATAACCTTCTGAGTATTAAGCATAAAGTTTCCTGAAATGCTTAGAATCAGATAAGGTTTATCTTCTTGACTCATACAATAATAAAAACCACTCTGGTTCCATTTAAATCAGTAGAGTTTTGTCACTGACTACTATGATGTTGGGATTTCAATCTTTGTACTCTTTATTTCAAGATTAAATCTGCCTTGCTAGCACTCCTGTGATTTTGTATGTATTTATATGAGTAGTCCAGGGCAGGATAAAAGGAGTCCAGATCAGATCCATCTTTCCCTTTTTAGTAAGATGACATGACATTTTAAGCATTAGATGTATGCCAAACTATTTCAATGAAACAGAACAGATTTTCTTATTATAAGCCATACTGGACAAAATTCAGAGATTTCCTTGAAAAATCTATACTCTTCTATTATCCTGACAATATTATTTCTGTGGAAGAGGTTATTTTAGAGGCCTCTTTCTCTGTCACATGAACTCCTGTTATCTGTCATGCCAAGGACATTTGTTTGGAAAGTCTAGGGTTGTGCAATTTTGGAAAGCTTCCCCGTAATGTTTGAAAAGGTAGATGCAGTCTCCTCCTAAGGTCACTGAAAGGATATGTAGTGTTATTGCCTTTTAGGGCTTGCACTGAGAATATTTGGCTTTCTAAAATACTGCACGGTAGAGGAGTAAGGCTGTTTAAGTGTTCACCAAGTGGTAAAAACATCCAGACAATTACATATGTGTTAAGTTTTTCAAATATTCACCTTAGACCATTGCATAACTACTCAAAAAATGTAGAAGTAGCATGACTTTTAACACAAGAAAGAAATTTTTCATAGTCATTGAATCTTACAATGCTTTGTGTTTGAAGAGACCTTTAAAGATCCTCTAGTTGCTGCCATGGAAAGGGATGTTTGTCACCAGATCATGCTGCTCAAAGCTCCATCTAACATGACCTCTAACACTTCCAGGGATGGGGCATTCACAACTTCTCTGGGCAAACAGTTCCAGCATCTCACCACGCTCCTCATGAAAAATGCCTTCCTTATGTCCGGTCTAAATTTACCCTCATTCAATTTAAAAGCATTACTCCTTGCCTCATTACCATGGGCCTTAGTACCACGTCTGTCTCCAGCTTTCTGATAAGCCATTCTAATTATTGGAAGGCCACATGTTTTCCACAATTTTAACATACTGTTTTTTCACTGATGGGAAAACTCCAATGTCTGTGAACTGACACTGGCAGAAGAGCAGAGTATTGCTAAGTTTGAGTGAATTTACAGAACCCATCTTCATAAGAACCAGAAGATTCTTTGGGCAGAGCTTGCATTTCCACTTTACATGTCCACTATACCCACAGCAGTGGTATCCTATGGATGGCTATCATAACAGTGGCAATAAATATAGATATTGTCATTGGGAACATCACTGCCCACAGATTCCTGAAGGCATGAAGGTATTTGTTTTCAGGGAAAGAAAAAGTTGTTTAGACAAATGAGTCTTGTAGACTAAAGTGATGCTTCATGAAAGGGAACTGCTGTTAAAAAAGACTTCCATTGGTGCTCCCTGAACTGATCTGACAGCTCATGTTTGGATTGTTTCTCCCATTTGGCAACTCTCCCTTTATTTAGTTCAGTTAAATATTATGCAACCAGAGGGTTGCATAATAATAATGTTAGAGAACTATGTACCTCCCATGTTTAAGGCAGACAGCTGTGTCATGGCCTGCAGGACACAGAGCAAACTGCTTCTCTCCAGGCAGAACTTTAGGGCAGCAGCATGCTCCTCTAAGGAGTTACCCTAAAAAGTCAATGTCACAAAATGGACCCAGATATTTAGGGCAAGGAGAGCTGCTGATGAGGGGAAGCAGATGGGAACTAGTGGTTTCCCTATAATCTCATGGCAAATACATATGTAGAACAAATCCCAGATCTACCCTCTGACTTTTAAAAGCAGTTTTGAAAATATTTACAGTGTCTGGCATTTTTTGTGTGTCTGCTGCACTTTATTCAGAAACCAGCCTGTGAAAAAAAAGCCAAATATTTCTCTTTGGCATGCAAGTAATATCTCCCATGCTCAGCCTGAATAGTTGCTCTGTCAGAAGGTCCTATATATCCTTTATTGCTTCTATATGAACAACCATGGAACAGTTTCTGTGTCATCTTTGCTCCACTGTGTAGCTAGAGGATGCTAATGCTCTTCAAATAGCTGTAGTATTATAAAGCATTAGAAATGTCTGTGCTGACTTGGCACTAATAGTCATATTTCAAAAAATGCCTCTTCTTCATAAATGAACAAATTTTGCACCTCTAAAATAGGCTTGGAACAAAGCCACACTGGGTGCATTTCCCCCTCAAGCTCTGGGGGTTTTTTTCATCTCTAATCCTGAGCTGTTTGCTCCCAGTGTGGCTTTTTCTGCAGGTCAGTCTAGAGGAATCCTCTGAGACAGTTTTACAACATACAAATGTGGAGCAGAAGCAGCTCACCCAGACAAGAGCACGACCCTGAGCAAACTCAGTGCTGTGCTCATGGAGTGTTGGCTGGATGCAGCTGAGAAGGAGCAAGGATGGGCAGCACCACAGGACTAGTCAGGTGCACAAGGAGATGACTGCAAAAATACTTGTCCATGGACCTTTCTGGAAGGGACACAACCTCACCCATGCTTTCCTCATGGATATGCTGTGTTTTCCTCTTTTGGCTTGCTCTCACTCTGACACCAAGAATTTTGATGGAACACGATCCTTTGTGAGCTTTGGCTCACTCTCCTTTTCCTTAGACCTGAACAAGAGGTTCAGAGTGAAATTCAAGCGTGGCCAAAAGATTGGAAAAGGCAGTTATGTCCCAGTCCCCAAAGATGCTGGATAACTATACACTGGCTCTATTTAACTTTAGGGGACAGGAAATTTCCTTCAAAATTTCCAGCAATGAACTTCAAGGTTTCTTCTTTCCTCCCTGCAATATGGAGGTGTAGCTGTTAAATGAACTCTGAAAACCAGAATTTCCAGCCCAGTATGGCAAACCATTAACAGAAGTTAAGCTGGATAGCAAAAGTTAGCATTGGAGTACCACAAAAACCAGAATTTCCAGCCCAGTATGGCAAACCATTAACAGAAGTTAAGCTGGATAGCAAAAGTTAGCATTGGAGTACCACATAAAGACTGAAAACAGTGCAAATACAGAGTACAGTGAGAATCTTTTTACTTATTCAGTATTTCAAAAATACTTGGACAATAGAAAATACATTAATCTAATTCTTAATATAAAGAAATTAAGTGTGGTGGATAGGGCTCTTATATGTGGCAGTGTTTGGGTCTTATAAACTGTACAGACTCTGGAGGAGACATGAGGCTAATAACTCTTCATCTCCCCACTTATAAATCTGTATCTGTCCAACAAAACAAAATTGCAGACAACTTGCTTCATGTCTAGGCTAATTTTAAATATTTATAGTGGGATGCCACAACCACTTTCCTAGACCCTCTCTTTAGTGGACAGAAGTATTTCTCAGGCATAATTCATCATGTCCTAATGTAGTCCTTTAAGGAGTTCAGGTGATTAATGTCTCTTTCTTTCTGGACATAATACTGTAAAAGCCTAAAGCTGACTGAAATTAATCCCAACCTCGTTGCTTCTTTGTTTCTTGTACTTTTTTTTTTTTTAATTAGGGAAAAGAAGGTGCTTTCCTGGTTTACTCTGGCTAGGCAGGGATTTACACAGTGTCTGTATTCAACAAGGCTCCTTACTAAGTATCCAGTGAACGTGCAGCATTTCTGTGAGTGTGCCATAGACATGATGTTTGGTGTGACTTGGCAACAACAAAATCTCTATATTGTGTTAAAGATGAACCTGGGGCACATTCAGGTCATATTCATTCTTTGAATTTGAACATGACAGTGGCTCCCTGAATGGGAAAACAGGGACCCAGAACTGTCTCATCTAAACAAAGGCATGCAGCAGGCACATAATCTAGGGGAATAGAGGAGTCTCAAGAATGACAGAGAAGGAAGGGAGTGGGAATGAGAATGGGAATGGGAGCTGGAATGGGAAGAAGAATGGGAAGAGACAAGGAAAGGGGAAGAGGAGGAAAGGAGGGTGTTAAAAATTAGATATAGAACCATTGCAAGGGCAGAATGTGAAAGCCTTTTGCTCCAGATGTAGCTGTTGGGAAACAAGTACTAACCATCAGACTTGAGTATGCTGCAGGAACCTCCAGTGGGCTGGGAGCCTGTACTGCACATCCCAGGTGCTGAGGAGGGAAAAGCAAGCTGAGGCAAATGTAAGACTTTTCCTGGCGACATCTACTACATATTTTGTTATTTGGCCAGCTGGAGCATTGCAGCTCATGCAACAACTAATCTACTAACACAAGGGCTGGGAGGCACTTTGCAAGGTTTTGACATGTCCTGCATTTGCTGATGTTTTTAATTAGTAAAAAAGGAGCAGTTAAGCATTAAATGTGTACAAACCCCTGGGAAGAAGTACTACCTCCATGAAAATTACCGCTTGGAATCAATTCCCAAAATTATATACTACCACCAGCACAATTTAGCTTTCTGGAAGTATGTTAGGATGCTTTTGGTGCTATTTCTGGAGAGCTGTCAGCTCAGGCAGGGAGATTTTTGTGAGGTATCCCACCGGAGGAGTGGTGCTCGGAAGGCAGGGAGGGGCATGACCTGCCATGGGTCAGTTCTTCGCCTCGGGATCAGCCACAGCTGCTCTCCCTTTGCTGCCCTGGCCCCAGGCAGCACTGGGGTCTGCTGAGCACAGACACCCAGCTGGCCCAGCACGGGGCAGCTCTGCAGGAAGCACTAAGGTCACATGTAACCAGCACTCCCCACCATGATCCCTGTGTGTCCCTTCCACTCCAGGATATCCCCCATCCCAAGGTGTTCTGCTCCAGAGTGGAGCTGGCAGGTCTGCAGCACTGCACGCTGCCTTTGTGGGCTGTAGGCTCAGGAATTACTGTGCCACTTCACAGCACAGACATCCAGCATACCTCCAGAAAGGTGAGGGGCAGGAAGGTCCCTTCCCATGACTCCTAGGTAGCTGACCAGAAAGCCATTAGACAAGTATTCATTCAATAAATAGATGGAACTTAATTCTGAGCATACACTGTACAACAGAAAATGTTTGGGATGATTCAGATTCCCAAAATATAAAAAAATAAAAAAAATCAAAGAAAAAATAGAAATTGTTGTACGTCTCTCTAAGTTTTGCTGTTCAAATATCAATACAATGTACTTAAAGAAATTGTTGAAACTGGATACAGTCCCATCTCAGACTTCAAACACTCCATTTCTAAAAGGATTGAGTGTCCTTCTGCTTGTTACTTTGAGACTTGGTATTTATGACATCAAAAGAAGACTCAGTATTGATGAAATTACAATCTATAGCCATAACCTGAAACAGGATTTAGCAGCACAAAAGTGTGGCCTTAATGGTGGGAACTGCCTCCATTTATCTGCCAGTTTGCAAACAAGTATTTCAAGTTGCTTTTGATGAGGGGATCAGTCATTTCAAGGACTTGTACCTAAAGTTTATGCAAAACTTATCTTACAAAAGTGCTGTCCTTCCCTATTGGGAAAATAAGCTGTTATTTCATTGACTTCATAATAGTGTACACAACCAAATTTCTGGTGCATTACGCTTCAGCAATATTTTGCTTTCTAACTTTAGTCAAAAATGTGTTAGGAGATTTTTGACAATTTATGCTCCAGACTTGCTTCGTTTTTCAACAGGGGTGCAGCCCCACCAGCTAGCATTTTAGTTGTATTGTTGATGCTTTCAAAGAATTGTCTTTATGTGTAAAGAAAGTTGTTAAATCCATACTTCACAAACTGATTTATAAATCAGAAATATCAGACAACTTAAGTAGCTGAATTCAAGCTGTAAATATAAAGTCAGTTTCCTGAAAATTGTCTGTGCACTATGGGAAAGCAGAAACAAAACTTGAGCTTGATTTCAGACTGAGAACTGTGGATGCAAACAGTATCACAGAAGTTAATGAGCATGCACACAGAGAATACAGCCCTTGATAAATGTTCTCAAGTGATTGTTTGCAGAAACAGGCTGCTATTGAACTTTTCATAAATCAAGCTGTTTAAATTGCCTTTCACTCTGTTTGTAGTGTATTGCAAATAATCCAATCAACACTTTTCACTTTTTGATGTCTTGGTAAATTCTGAGACTACTGAAGAAGGCCTGGAGTAGGAAGCCTTTAAAATACAGGGTTTAGTTTCTTGCTCTGTTGCTGTTTTTCTAGATGAATGTGGGTTTCTCACCTCTGTTCCACATCCTTCAATTTCCTTTTTTCTTAAAGCTCAGAAAATGGTACAGAATATTTTTCATTCAACAGCTAAAAAGTGAAACAAGAGAGCAACAGTTTCAAACTGAATTGCATAAATCAAAGATGTCATAATTCACTGAAATGCTAGAGAACAGTAATTATTAGCAAACATATGATGTTATTTGGTCCTTTTTGTGTTCTTTCCACTCATCTATTTTCATTTCTCCACTAAAGGCTGCTAGGAACTGTTTGATTGACAGCAAACTTACTGTGAAAGTACCTGACCTTGGGATGACAAGGCAAGGTAGGTGGAAGAACTGGGAGCCTGACAATTTGAAGCTCTGATGTTGGAGTATATGCAGTTTACTGGCACTGATCAGCTGCAGCTGGCTGTCAGGGAAGTTAAGACATGGGGTGTGATACAGCACTTTGTCTTTTCGTTCCATTAATAACCATAAGTTATTATGGAATTAGAATAAAAAATAGAGAATAGAGTCACACAGATGTCTCAAAAAGTTAAGGCTTAAAGGCAAATCACAGCTGAGAGATTTCACTAGTCATGTTTGTGAAGAAATCTCAATGTTTACTTTGAGTACAAAGTTTGCACCTGATTTGGGTACCAAGCATCTTAATCAGTGGCCTCAATGAAGAGAAGCTGGAGAGGATGAGCAGCCTATGGAGCATGTCCTCTGAGAAGAGGCTGAGGGAGAGAGATGCTTAGCCTGGAGGACAGGGGGATAAGAGGGGATCTAAAAGCTGCCTATAGCCACTTACAGGTACAAAGCTAATGGAGCCAAGGAAGTCTTACCTGTGCCAGGTGATGCAGCAGCAGACACTGCCATAGGCTGCAACTCAGGGAGTTCAAGTTGGATAGTAAAAGAGAAATTGTTTCCCCAGGAAAAGGGAACAGTGAAACATGATGGTCAGGGGGATGGCAGTCTTTAGGGGCTTTTAAGACCTAGCAACAGAGAGCTGTGGCTGACCTGATTTGGGAGTAACCCTACTCCAGTAGAAAGCTGGGCTAGATTGACCTGACAACAGGTGTTTCTGTGATTCTGCATTACTTCCCTAGTAAGCTGATAGCAATCATCTGTTCTAGATTATAGGTAATGCCTCTATCAGGTATCCTTTGGAAACCTGAGATTCTGCCTAGGCTTTCTTTAGGACCCTTATGATGTTCAAGGAAGAAGCAATAAATATATTTCACTGTAATTCGCTCGCAACCAAGTTTGGTTTGTGCTTTTTAGGGATGTTGTGGATAACCTGTGTATAAATTCTCTAGGAACCAAGTTTCCAGTGGAGTGCTCAGCATCAGAAGCTTTTCATCACACCAAATTTAGCAGCAAGTCAGATGCATGCATCCTTACTATGTATTGAATTTGACATCTGAGTTTGTATGTATATATGCCATTACATTTGGACTTCATCAGCTTGTTAAGCAGACATTTAACACACTTAAAGGCTGTAAAAAGAAATTACAGCTTGTATTCTTGCTCAATTTTTATATGCAAACAAGTCCTATCATATTTGGACTTTTTAGCCCTATGATTCTTCTTTTAGGCAAATAGAAACTCTGCCCACTCCACACTTGCTACATATGTGTTTAATATGGTCAAGTAAACTTTGGTGGTGGAGATCAAGTCAAATCTTGAGTCTGTCTAGACCATAAATCAGTGTTGCCCAGCTGTAGGAGTTTCTGTGAGCTGGGACTCTGTATCTCAGTGTAAAGTATATCTGTTTGCAGATCACTTTCCACCAGGAATTTCAAACATTTGAACTTCAACTTCAGTGGTTTCAAGCTGTGATTTCCAAGTCCCCAGAGTCTGTTCAGTGTTTATAAAAGCCTGCAAAAGGTGTCAAAGGAAACAGAACCTTTTGTGAACAGGCTTGAATTCCACTTATCTGGGTCTGCTCTTCCAGAAGGAATATTTTGGCAGCTGTCAAATTGATGGAAAGATTGGCAACCCACTGTTCTTGGCATCAAACCACAGTGAATTAAGCAGATAAAAGTGCTTCTGAATGTTGGGTTGCTTCTTATCTTTAACCTCACCTGGTCTCCCAGTGTTAACCACTCTGGCAGAAAAACAACTCATTCATGCCCTTTACAAGCTGTTTATAATATATACAATTAAACCAGAAGTTGGATTTTGTGGTGATACATTTTCTTTTTGCTCCTATTGATTAAATCTTGGCCCCAGGCTTTACTTTCATTAACTTCAATATTGGCATTAACTTCAATGAGAAATTTTATTTTTCCTTAGAAGATATTTTTCTCATTTTAACACTATCCATTGATGCAGTGGAAGCAAGGGGACTGTGGGATCAGTCAGTTCTTGTTTGATTGTTTTTAACTAATGAGCCTTTAAAGGGCTGAAGAATACAACTGATGTATTCATATCCCAAAAGCAGATGTAAGAGAACAAAGAATCCTATTTTTTTTATGTTCTCATCAAAGAAAGCTGGGATTTGGATGCCATTTTAGTGTCACTGTAACACTACGATGCTCCAGTCTTCAACCTGGAGTGAAATCAAAGATCCCACAAATTTATTTTTTAAAAAAAATTACAGCCAATATTATATATCATTATGAAATAAATATTTCCCAATTTATTTTTTTTTTCTTACTTTAGGATAGGCATATTTATCACATATATTCATTTACACACAAAATTGTTTCATGCAAGGCTATAATTATGAATTAGTGATTATGATATTATTCAGTGTTTCGATTGCTTCTGTGTACTCCAGCTTTTAAAGGATACAGCTGACACTGTAAAATACTTGAAAATCTTTTTGATACCAAGGAATTGTGTGTCCCACTCCAAAAAAAATCTGTAATTTTTTTTCTTATTATTTTATAAAGACATAGATACCTATAGTTGTCATTTCATTTTTCCTTCCTTCTGTGTACACACACATATGTAAGATGATGTTTGCATGTATTCTGCAGAAAATTCAGCCCAACATTGTCCCCACTAAATGTATTTTGTAACTTCATCATCTAAATTAGTCTTCTTATGGAGTAGGAGCTGTTTTAAGTTCAGGTACAGAACCATACTTGCCAGTCTTTTTTTTGGACAATATTCTCAGAGTCTGTTCATTTTGATGTTGCATGTGTATCTTGTCCCATGAAAAAGGAGTTATCTTGTATTTCTTGACTTTAATTTCATGTCTTAATGTGGGAGGTGTTTACTTTGGGAAAGCAGGCCTATGAGCTTCGTGATGACTGCAGAAAGCTTCTCAAGGATAGAGACCACAGCAGGTTCCAAACATCACCTACCAGAAAATGGACAACTGCTGGTATGAGGTGTGTATGGTGTATGTACATCTGCACATACAAACTGGAGAAAACAAAATCACAGGAGTCACTATGAGCCCCTGCTGATAGCTGAACTGACACTCATAATGAAAATATCCTTTAATAAAAGTCATTGCTTGTAAGTAATACATTCTACATTACCTAGTTCAGGACATGGTTAATACAGGAAATGAGGCACAAAGGTAGGCTGGTTTTCTTCTTTTTAGAAGTACATATTTAAGCATAACACCTTTCAACATCAACAAATACAAGATGAGATTCCTCTCACCTAATTTTAACAGTTTAAAAATTGTGTGCTGAGCTAAACTAACTAAATTTCTTCCATGACTACAGGACCATTACTGATACCTCCCTGTGGTCATTTGCCCTTTCTCTCTCAGCAGCCACAGAATAGAAGATATTTGCCTTCCTGTACAGAGATTTTAAACAGCAGACATAGAGGAGACATCCAGTTTTATAACATACAGTTTTAATCTGTGTGAAACAACCCTGTCCTTAAAACAGAAGGATGTTACCCCATCCATTCTAGGAGCTGTCAGGCAAATGCTGATTATGATCTTTTTATTTTGAGATCTTCATCTTCTGTGCCAAAAATTATCCTGATTTATTGTTCCTCTTCGAAATGTTGATCAGCTGCCTGTAGACCAGGACTTGTTTCTCACCAGCAACAAAGAACTGTTTTGGACATTATTGATTACACCACGAAATGACTGTGATGTTCCCTTGGGTTTTTTTAATGTAATTGCCAGGAAAATGAGTAAAGTGACTTATATTAGAGGCCATATTAGTGCAGAGAAAGAAGATTAAACTATCACAATGTAAAATAGATATAAAAAGTAAGCTGAATTTTATTTATCTCCTGCAACTTTATTTTAGCATGCAGAAATTTGTAGCGACATCACCCTCTATGAATTTCTGCATGCTAAAATCAAGAAAAAGGAATGCAAATTACAGTGTCTGAATTATTTTAAAATTAGGTAACTATACATATCATCTTTGCTTCATTTAGCTACCAGAACAGCACCCTGCCTTTTATCAGCTGTTACCATTCTTTTGAGGCATTGAGAGAAGGCAACAGAGCTTGAAAAATAAGATTCAGAAACAGATGACTGTGCATACTGGCTCCACATCACCTGCCTGCTCTACAAGAGCTGAACCTGAAATCTGCCTGACATTAGCCAACCTTATTATTCTGTATTTTAGTGTTCTTCTCGTTTAATCAGGGGGCTGACCAAGAAGCATATGGAGAAAGCATTTCTGACACTCTGTGGATGACAGAATTTGAAAGGATACTGTGGAAGAATATAATTTATTTTGTTAGCATTTTTTCAAAAGACTTCCCAGACACTGAGATATATATACCAATTATGTGCACTCCTTCAGTGCCTCCAGATTGTCATTATTTGGCCTTAACTGGAAATGTAAACAGGGAAATATATCCTTGCTAGGTTTTCTGATTATCATAACTCATCTGAATGTGTTTTTTTCTTCATAATCACTTGAAGCTGACACCTAAAGTTGAATTTAGAACTACTGCAAGTGACAGCAACATAAAGAAATATAGTCTCACTTTCAATTACTTAGAAATTACTACAGGTAAAATATTATATCTGTTTTCTCACCAGTGTTATTGACTCTAGTTTTGGCCCGCGGGGTATATATTTGATTTGGAACTCATTCTAAGCTGCATATTTAGGATATTTTCAATTTAGCAACATATGAGGCATCGAGTAGAGTGTTAGTGCTTCCTGCAATAACAGGTAAAAATAAAGAAAATAATGTTTTATGCAGAATTCTATAGTCACTTCAACAGTAAATGGTAAATTTGCTGATCTCTATAAAACTTGAGAAGAAAAAATTTGAAGATAAATGAAAATGCTATTAATATTATTGCTTAGCCAAATACTTTACTACAGAGGCACTGAAATTTGTCTTCTGATGTTAGTGCTTAAATAGGAGCACCCAACTTTCAAATGTGCTCAGCACTACAAAAATTTGTGCTAACTTCAGCAAGTCTTGAGATACAGATACATCTGAAGCCACATAACAGAGGCATCTAAACTTAGGCACTGACAGTTGTAAAATGCTGATATGTATAATAATAATGTATAATGAGGCTTTAAAATTGAGTAATTTCTGAAATAAATCCTTTTCTTTCTCCCATATCTGAGCCAGTTCAGCATGCAATGCCCTTAAGAGTCCCAGTGATGTCTGCTTGCCCCTTTCCTGATGGAGCTGGCCCAGCCCTAACAGGGACCCCTCTGCAGCTCTAGTTTGAGCTCACCTAAGGAATAAGAAATGCAGGGTGCAGACATGTGAGGAAAGAGCAGAAAGAAATGAAGGTCTCTGGCCAGACAGAGGCTCCCATGCCTGTCCTTGCCAGCACTGCTTGGTCCCAGCACAGGAAGCTGGCTCAGAGAGCATATCCTTGTCTACCTGGGGAGCTGCAGGTGTGTTTGAGGGAAAGCAGCGTTTGGGGTGATGCAAATGACCTTGGGGATCTGTGCAGGGCTTGATCTGATGCTGCCCATGGACCAACCTGGCCCAAGCAGTGCTGACTCAGAAGAAGGGTCAGGAAGGAGTGCAGACACTGAGAAAGCAGGAGGAGGAGGGCTCCCCCAGCACAGAAGGTGTGAGCTATTGGTGGGCCTAATGCATGCAAGTGATTTTTTTCATATAAATGTTGTCTTTTTTTATGTTCTTCCATATTCTTATAGCAACTTTATGTGTTGATAATTCTGAATGGTGTTTTTTGTTTATCTCATAGCACAGCTTTTAAAATTAATTGTATTGAAATTATGGCTTTGTCATAATGAAAAAGTTACTCTTACAACAGATCTGAAGATGGCTGGCATGACTAATTACTGTATTTGATTGTTTTCAGAATTGCCATTTCTTTTCTGTTTTACAGCAAAGTAGGAAGACCACAAATAGTTGATTTATTTATCCTAAAAGTTCAGCTCAAGTACTAAGGTTTGGGACTGTTATGGCAATGGAATATGTGGTATAGATAAGCAACTTTAAAAAAGTATTTTCCTTCCTTTGCATTAGTGTCTAGCTTGCTGTTAATTATTAAGCATCATCTGCTGGCCATTTTGAGCTGCTTCATTTAAGGGTCTTGTGTCTTAAACAGGAAATGAATGTGGAGCATGTGAAGCCATAGAGCCCAGAGGTAATCTTCAGATAAATGTTTGGCTGCTTTCTACAGATTGTGATCATTTTGGAGGCCCTTGATTTTAAGAGTCCATGCATTTTCTGAGCATTTTTCATGCAGGATCGTGTTTGCTACTGGTTCTTTATCGGAATCTGGGACTGACTGTCAGAAAACCTTCTGGTTTTCAGTGTCTGGGTGTATACATAAAGAAAACACACTGGCACGGTTGCAGCTACAGTGGGGGACCTTCAAGACTCAGAATCATAGAAAATCTGGCTGAAAGGGTCCTCTGGAGGTCATCACCAAACTTCTCAGTCAGAGTGGGATTATCCCCACTGCTCCATCGTGCACACCTTCACCTACCTGATCTCTGAACACTTCTAAAGGTGGAGATCACACAGCCTCTCCCAGAGTACAGAGTAGCAAACCTGGTCCAGTGCTGATCTACCCTCCATGTGAACTGATTTTGTTTCTCAGGTGCAACCAGAATTTCCCAAGCCTTAATCTACTGGCCCTTGTATGTAATAGCAAAATTGTATTTGTTGTACACAGCATTTGTAATGCAGTATTTATAATAGTGGAGGCAATGGCCAAGGTATAGGGAAAAATAACCAAAACCACTTTGATCATTTAGTATTTAGGAAGTTTCCATTTTTAATACAACATAAAAGAGCTTTTTTTCTTTTTTTGAGGGAGCATGGGCTATTTTGTTTCTACAATACTTATCAAGAAAACAGTTAGAAAAATAACTTATGATTTTCTAATAAACCTCCAGTGCTTGTTAGTCTTCATCCAGTACCCATTTTACATTGATACAGATTTCTTGAAGGTGCAAAAATTGCAGTTATATCAAATTGAGTTCTTTATCACTAAGGTTCTTCTGATAGTCAAGGGATTTTTCATCACTTTTCAACACTTTTGAAGTCTCCATCTGGGAAGATCAAGATGTTCTTCAGGAGTATATGAGTTATTTTTATGTGTGTCTTGGTCTGTATACAACTATATACTTCCAAGCCTTTGTTTCTCATTACACAGGAAACAAAAGTTGGATGCTGCACACACATGAAAAGCAGCACAGATGGTGTGTAATGTTATGCACATAATTCATAGAAAAGCCATGCATGTTTTCTAGTTACCACACAGAGAGCAGATTTAGTTGCTTTGGCCATGAACCAGTAGATCAATGGTCAACCAGAAGACATTGTTTGATGACATCCATAGTGTTTTGCTCCTTTGCTAGGCACTATTGTTAAAAGTGAAATGAAGAGAAAAACAGAAGCCCTTATTGTACCCACACAGTTTAAAATGATGTTTGTGTCTCTTCAGCTGGCTCAAAGCCCAGGTTGCTTCTTCCCTCTTCTCCATAAGGGTTCACCTCTTCATGATTTGATCCTGCTTCACCTCTGCTTTCTCTTGCTCTCCTGTAATGGAAATTCATTTTATATTAGATCATCACTGTTCTGTTCAAGTCCTTCTGGATCCCCAGAATTCCTGACTTTAAATAATACTGTGTTTAACTGGAAATATTTATATAAAAGAAATAAAGTTAGGTTTAAGCACTGTAGCAAATCTGCTATGCTCTTAGAAACCCTGTTAGTGGAGGGACATAGAAAACCAACCAAGCTATCCTTGTTAATGCAATAATATTTAAGGAAAATATTATTACTATACAGCCTACAATCAGATTACAGAAAACTACAGGTCAGATTACAGAAAACTACAGGTGCTGATGAATGTGGGCAACCCTGCTGTTGGAGAAAGCACCACATTCCCAGCAGGACATCCCCTCCTCCCTGCAGCAGGACTGGCAGAAGCCTAGCCGCCCTGCAGCTCCCTGTGGACAAAGTTGGTTAAACTGATGGTGACAGGGAAATTGCATTAAGCTGCCAAAGCTGTCATGTACTGAGAAACAGGGAGATGAACCTTCAGCTAGCACTGTTGATGGGAAAGGGACAACAGGTTTTCATTCCTTAACTTGCTTCAAGTAAAACTGAAGCCTCATTTCTAAAAATCCTTATGATTCAATTATCAAGACATCTTCCAGTAGCCATGAGCATAGTATCAAAAAATATTACTCACTTTTTGCGATCTCTTTGCCCAGTGATGACCAAGGCAATAACTCCAACGACAATCAGACCCATGACCACCCCAAATACAATTAACCAGATAGTTACTGGTGGTTCATAGGGTGCAGCCAGGGTTGGAAGTATTCCCACAAACTCCAGGGTATTATCATCCAGTCTGAAAGCCTCATTGATTCGTCCTCGAGACATACTGCCATTGAATGCAAATTCAAAGAGTTTCACACATATATTGGAATGAAAGGAACAGTTTTCATTTGTTTTATAAATCTCCAGCATGCCAAGCTTCCCCTGAACTGTTCAGTTGAAAAGGCTGCAGAGGAGGTACTGCTAAACCCATATTCCTTCTGGCATGTGAGGACAACCACAGGAACTTAAAAAACCCTTAACCTACTGCAGCTTAACCGACATGTTCAGACACTTTATGGACTCTTAAACTCAGTCTTAACATTTATCAGCTGAACCTTTAGATCTCCTTCTCTCTTTGTATTCTTCATTCTCTTCACTATTTCTTGTCTATTGAAAAGTTTCTTAGTTATGCCACATAAAACCACAGCTTTGACATCTTACCTGTTTCCCTCCTACAATCTTAAACAATTTTGACTAGTGTTTCTCACTGCCCTGAAGACCCTTTCCCTGCTGTATCATCTGTGCCTTGTTTTTCCTTAAACTTCCACGTGTGCTATTGAGTGCTAACCCAAGAGTAACTTTCACAGCCATACTCTTTTCCCTTAGTTCACCAATTTATCTCACTGCTTCTTCAACCCCATATCATGTTGATGCTGCTTTTAGATTTGTGCCCTCTTCATTTCCTACTGCACATTACCCACCATTTTCTGCAGAGCTGCAGTTTTACTTATCATTTTTATAGCAATAAATTACAGTGGTGTCACACCATGCTGTGAAAGACCTGTAAGTTCACTGACCTGTAAGTGGGAGCTAGCCCCTGCTCTGACCTCCTCTATATAATCAAATACATCTGGCTGTCTTTCTAGTACACCATTATTCTGGAGTCCTTGTTAACAATAATTCTTATACTGACTTTTCAAAATGAGAGGAAGAACACACGTGTGCATGCACACATCATTACTGTATTCCACATTTCAGTATATAGAATAGTTCCTGTTAAAATTTGAGCAATTAGATCTGCTGGCAAGGTATGATGCAATGAGGTGTGTTTTGGCAATTTTACAAGTCCCCTGAAGCATTTTACTTTGGCTGTTGTCCAAGATACCATCTGATAGATGGTCTGTTTTCTTTCTGTCATAACAGTTTTCATCCTAGTGTCTCTCATCCCACTATTTCCATTTTAACTGCAGAATTTACTTTCTTGTCACTGCTTCTGCCTCAGCTGACTTAAGCACTGTTTTCCATTCCAACCTTCCATCTGGTTGGTTGGTTGTTTGGCTTTTTACCCCAGAGAAAAAAATCTCACCTGATGGCATTTTCCACATCAGCTTTGGGCACAAGATCACCGATATCACCTGGCATGCTGACAGTAATGTAGAAGGAGATCCTTTGTGTCTGCTCCCTGACATGAACGTCTGTAATTCTGAAGGGGAAACAGAAGGAAAAGGTTATTTTCATTGTTGAGATGACATTAGCTTTAAATTTGGGCAAGTGAACAGTTGTGTTTGATTGGCATTGCCAGGGGTTTAGTTTACACTGGGGGATTGCTTCCTAGTGAAATCAGCTGGGAAGTGAAATCAATTTTCCTGCCAGAATTCCTTTTTCTGTGTGCTAATTTGTAACTTGAGCTGGAGAGAGTCTCCCTCATACCTAAAGGAAGTCTTGGTGTAATTTTCCACAGCACATAATCACTTGTAAAACAGAGAATGTTTGGGGTTGGTCTCAAGAATGTATGAAGTACTAAGTGGGAAAAAAGCAGCTTTCTTCCTTATTTTTCTAGAGCAGATTCTAGATATTACATGACTGATGTTCTATAATGTCTAATAGCTTAAGTAGAAAGCTTATGAACATTACGGAAGATACTTAGTCAAAGGGGGTTTTTTCTTACCAAAATCACCTTCAGGTGAAAGATTTTATGCTTGTAACTGAACCTAGATAAAATTAGTAAGTGTGTACCAAATTCTAGTGTTTTATAGTCAACATGTTCATCTTTCCTTGGCCCCAAACCCCTTGGACATTCAGTACAATACACATACATAGCTAGAAATGTTTATTTCTAATCAGTGTACCTTTCCTGATATCCTGATGTAAGTGTTGGGCACAAATTGTCAAGGTTCATCTCCATCAGTGATAAGCTGAGGGAGACAAAGCCTTCTTACCTAACTTTAGCACATTATTCCTAAACTTCAGGCTCTTGAGGGGAAAGGTACCATCTACCCAAGCTGGCATCTTGCCTTTTACAAAGAGCCGATGTTTGACATTGTTTCATTGTTTGGTATGTTGTTCATGCTGAACATATTGTTCATTGTTTCACCTTACAGTTGACAGAAGGCACAGTTAATCCCACCAGTTCCTGTCATTAGCCAAGCAGGAGCAATGCAGGCATAGCTGGCACAATTAAGCAAGCCACTCACTGGAAGTCAACTTCCTGTTTCTTCACCTTTGCGAAGTATTTTCTCATGGCATAGGCGACAGATGACTTGAACAAGAAGAGCTCATTCTCATCCCATTCATACTGCAGGAACAGCACAAGAGAAATTCCTCAGAGAGGGCAAGAAGTTAGAGACATTAAGAAATCCTTCTAAAAAGAAATAGCAACCTAATGCTTGGCATGCACTTCAGTATTATTTATTTGTGCCATGATAGCACATCAGAAACCAACTCAAACCCTTTAGATCTGTTAATCTGGGCACTGTGCAGGAGGATAACCAAGGAGGCATCCCTGCTGCCAGACATCATTCTGTCCCTCTGCAATCTCTAGCACCTTTATATGGGACTGCTGAAGATGCTGCAGTGCCAGCACACCTCTGTGACTTACAGGGAGAAAAGGCAACAGCGAGGCCATTCCTACCAAATATAGTGCATTTTCTTTGAAGTTCAAAGATTTCATTATTTAGATCTTGTTTTAATCACATAGTTTTATTTGCAGACCTGTTCTGTTAAGGAGGAGAAACTTTGTGGTAGAGTAGTTGTGTGAAGGTGGCTAATTTATTTGCTTGATGAGCTAGGATTTTTGTTTGGGGTCTGTTTTGGTAAAAAACTCTTTGTATCAGTACTTCTGCAGTAAGCATATATTTGTTTCTTTCCCTGGAAAATAGATAGGTGATATTAAAAAAAAAATAAATTATTGCCTATGTGCACGCTTTTCCCGGCCTGCCTTATGAGTCCAAAGTTATTTGCAGTGGAAGACAAAGACAGCTTCTCTGGGGCAGGAACCAAGAGCTGTACAGGGGGCAAAAACCACCACAGGAGGTGATAAAGCAGCCTGGTCTGTTGTGAAATAGCATGTGTGCACAAAGGGAAAATTCCCAACTGAACTCTGTGGCAATATCTTTTTATTCCCCTCAGGCATAGATTTGATTGTGTTTATGGTACCTGGGCAGGAAAGCCTATAAATGCTGCCAGTGATAGACAGTCAGCTCCTGACTTTCTTGAGTATTATTCAGGAACTTGTGGTAGAAGGCAGCTCTGTTGTAACAGGCTTTATAAAACCCAGCTACATTTTTCAAATGTGTCCACTTCTTGACACTGATGTAAAATGAGAAAGATGTATAAATATCTATGAGGAAGCCAGGGATAGAAAGGGATAAACAGTTTAGCCAGGTCTGTTGCAATAGGACAAGGAGTAATGGTTTTAAACTAAAAGAGAGTTGATTTAGATTAGTTACTAGGAAGGAATTCTTTACTGTGAAGGTGGTGAGACATTGGAACAGGTTGCCCAGAGAGGTGGTGGATACTCAGTTTCTGGAAACATTCAAGGTCAGGTTGGGTGAGGCTTACAGTAGTTTGATCTAGCTGAAGATGTCCCTGCTCATTGCAGCGGGGCTGGGCTGGCTGATCTTTAAAGGTCCCTCATAACCTAAAGGGTCCTGATTCTATTGATAAAGGGGAGGAAAGGGCAGGAAGAACCCACTGCTGTCAGTCCATTCAGGATCAAGTCCTGGGAAAGGCACAGGTACCCGAGGCCATGGCAATCAGAGCAGTCCTCAGGGCATTTGGAGGGCAGGGGCTGTGCCAGCCCTGGCCATTCCCACCAGGAAAGGCTGAGGCAAAGGCCCCAGGCTGTCTCTTGCTTGCACAGCCCTGCACTGAAATCACCTCCTCCTGTTACTGCTGCTGCCTCCGGCAGCTGGCACTGTTCACTACACAGCTAAGAGGCTATTGCTGGGGTTTCTCAATTTTCTGTTTATGCCCAACATCTTCAGGCTGGCAGTACTGCTTTTCTATTATTTTTTTTTTTACCAGGATCTAATTGAGCTTGATTCCTCTACTGAAGCGTTCTGTACTTAGCATGCTAACTTCTTAATAATTTATTAATTTCTCTCACTTATATTTTGTCTTTTTCAGTCTAATGGATTTTAATTGCCACTGTGCCTCTCAATTGCTTTTATAAATACTATTATTGGTTGTGTGGATGGGAAGTACCTGGCTGGCTTCTGATCAGTGTTTGAGTTATGACTGTTCACACAGCTTCCCCAGGCATCTCAGGCACCTACTGCACACTGTGCTTCAGAGAGAAATGAACTCTGCCAAGCACCTCTGCTCTGTTACAGGACCCGAGATGTGATTTGGAACACAGTGTAAGTGTGCCTGTGATTCAAAAAAGGACTTTTCATTGTAAAATACATCTAAATGCCTGCAGGCTGGCAGCTCTCCATTGCCTAACACTGTCTTGTGTGACAGCCCTTTACACACCTGGCATTGAGATCACACACATGGCATTGACCTGGTAGAGAATTTTGGATCCATGTTTGGAGTGGGGTCTGGTTTTCAAGTGGCAATCAGGGGCTGGTGTTCCTGGAACTGTTTATTTTAAATATAACAGACCCCAAGGCATTCAGTGGGATCTTGTAGCACTTTCTCTTGAGGGCACTTTCATAAACCCCCAGCTGAAGCAAAGCTGTGGATGTTTCAGCCTCATCACCAGATGCACCGGTGATCCAGCGATGCTGCGGCTGCAGCTCCAATCTCATCAGCCTGAGAACAATTAGCAGGGTAATTGAGGCAGTGCACGCTCTGGTACAGCTGGCGTTGAGCCCAACGAGAGTCTGGGTGCTCAGTTTGCCAGAACGTGGGGCTATCGAAATGTCCCTGCTGGTAAGAGCCAGGGCTGAGCCACGGCCTGGAGGCTGTGAGCTGCAGGTGTGCCCAGCACAGCTCCACCTGAGCTCAAAGCAGGAATCTTTCCCTGCCTGCTCTCTCCAGGGCTAACGAGCACAAATACAAAACTGCTTGCTGGCATACTCAGAGTGCTTTATGCTGTTAGGTCAGTGCAAAGCAACTCAAAATATACCTTACTCAGACAACTGCACCGCAGGGCCCACAGCTTCTGTGCACTGTGAGCTGTGCAAAGCACCCAAAACACTTTGCTCTGTGTGGCTGGGCTGAGATTCCTGCCCGAGATTCCCCCTGCCTGTGCCATTACTGCTGCTGCCACAGCAGCATCCAGCCATGTCCCTGGGGGCTCAGCAAAAGGGAAATTGCTGGGGAGGCAGAAAGCAACCGAATAGAAAAGGTTTCCTGCAAGTTGGTGATGTGAACTGGTTTTGAGAGGAAAATGCATGGCTTGCTCTTCAGAGCTTAGGAACCTACTGTCCATACAATAATTCAAATTAAGTAATCTGTATGAGATTGTTTTACAGCTGCTCAATTGCACAACAAAAGACTATGATAGCTAAAGGCAGGCATAAAAATGATATTAAGCTAAACATTAACCATAATGACTAATAAACGTGTTGTAATATGGAACCTTTTTATGCTGTTGCTATCAGTTTTGAATTGTATCTAACTCAACTAGGCAGTCTAGGAAGCAATAAAACTCCAGTGGGGCTTGCATGTGAGAGAGTGATTGAAGCAAAAGCATCAGTTCATATGAAAAATGAGCCCATGGTTTGTGTCCTTGCTAGTGCAATAGGCTCCAACACACAGGTCTAAATGACCTGCCTGATGATATACTCGTTCTTGGAAAATTACTAATGTCCTGCAAGGTGAAAATAGCTATTAACAGGAATGAAGTGTCTGCACTTAAACCTTCTACACTGCCTCCATGAGATTTGCATAAAGAGGAAGAGTTAGAATAAGGAGTGAATTTTCAGCCTGGGTTAAGCAGATGGGCTAAGCCAATGCTCTGTTTAAAATCGTAAAAGCCATCTTTGGTTTTGATGAGATTTTTTCATTGCTGTAATACATTTTATTGGACCAGCTGGTATAATTGGGGAAAGCAGATAAGCTCTTGGGAATGAAAGCCCTTCTCCTCATCTGAAACAGAAGCAGCTGCCCTGCACTGTCCCCTACACTCTCAATAACAAAGCTGTCTCTGCATCAGGGTGGGAGGACAGGAAGGCGGTTGAATATATCAGGGCCTGGAAATATTACTGTAAACAGCCAAATAAAAATCTACAAAGAAATGCTAACAGATGTGTTTCAGTTTGAAGGCAAGAGCATTCAAGGACAGTGAGTGGGATTCACCAGCCTGTTTTAAATGTGAAGTTAGCTGCTCTAGTAACTTCTGAAGGCAGCCACCATAGCCATGACAATGGCAATTAGAAGAAATTAAGTAGAAGCTTTAAGTGGACACATCAGAAAACGGGGAAAATACAGCCATTTTCATGTACACAGGCTCCTCTATGTTAGCCCTCCAGGCCTGCTCTGTAGGAGGTGAAAAATCATGATTGGCATCTCTACAGAATAAATCATCTAGCTGAGATGCCTTTCCTAAAATGGGTGGGCTCACTCCCTGGAGAAGTTCTTCCATTAAATCTAGAGGGAACCTTGACCACAAACTCAGACAAGACATGTGATAACCCTCCACCTGAGCTGATGCCACCCTTCAGACACGGAGATCAGCCATTCCCTGACCCATTTTCTGAGCCATTATCACAACACCTCTGTTGCCCAAGCAATAAGGACGCCACAGGATGAACACACTCACCGCCTGGTCCCCCAGCGCTGACTTCAGGCTGATGCGCACTTTGATGGCATTGCTATAATCTGGTTTAAAAAGAAAAAAGGGCCATGTTAGAGCTGCAGCAACGAAAAGTCTGCTCCTGGGAAATGCTGAGGTGACTAAAATTTCCTTAGAAGTTCCTTTGCTCACCTTGGAGAGCTTGGTGGGACTGATTTTATTTCCCTTCAGTCACCTCTACTGCAAACACACTCATCTGAGCTGTCAGTTCCCAAGTCTGGTTTTGTAGCAGATTAAAGGAAAATTAATCTCTCCCACCACTGGGAATGAGCAGTTTAGATGCAGATGCTGATGCCTGGTTAGGTGAATCCCACTACCAGAGACTGGCACAGGGCTGTAAGAGTTAGAGTGTTTTCCAGTACCAGCAATCATTACACAAATGTAACTTGGCTGGGTCATCACTCAGTGTCAAAATAAGCTGAAAAATGTATTTTTCCACAGCCTCCTCCTTTTCCTCTCCTTGAACTCCCCTCTTTGACTAACACATGTCAGAAAAAGCATAGCAGTAATATTTTTGTACTGGCTTGCCCATACACCTGGCTCCCAGGACCAGTGGCTCCCAGCTCTGCAATGCAGGCACATTCTCTCAGGAAAGTGCCACACAAGACCAAACTTCTGAATATTTCTTCCTTCTGTAGAGCCATCCCACACTCTGAGTACTGTCATTATGAAATAAAAAGGCGCCTCCATTTCTGAGAACTGAGTGGGTCTCTGACCAAGTCATGTGCTGACTTCTGCAGCTCTGGCCATGAGGAAGCCGAATTGTTTTCCTGTGAGTAAAACTTACAGCTCAGTGTTTATTTACCATAACCCTGTTTTTCTAGGGAGAATAGCCTTCAACAGCTACAAAAGAGGGACTTTGCTAACCAAGGGTTGTAAAGAATAACTTGTGTCCTTAAATCACCCACAAGCTATACGTACATGAAGCCCAGTCTGTTTTCCAGCCAATGAATCTGCCAGAATTGTTTCTTTTCAGCCACTCATATAAAGGTTCAAAGTAGTGGAGCAGGGGAGCTGCATTCATGTATTTTTCTCCTGTTACACTTTCCAGTGCTTGAGTCCAGGGCTTGGATCTCCCTAATGCCAGCAACTGTCTGTATATGTGGAATGAGAAGTAATATGTTATTGCCATGTTCCATCTAGACAAGAAAAACACTCGGTGTTCAGTATAAAAGTGTTTCTCTTTGCTTCTGATTCACTCCTTTATCCCATTATTCCTATTAATAAAAATATTTTATTTCCACAAACAAGTAATTAAACTTGTGACGTTTAGAACCTTAGCGTACATAAATTTAGTCAACTTGTCAAAATGAATTGAGCAGGTTTAGGCTAAATTTACAAGCTAGGTTTATTCTTGATGCAACCTCATTTATTCCAGAAGCTTTGTAATATTCTGATTTATTATGTATGAGAAATGTGCTTTGTTACCTGAGTTTCTGCCCAGCTGCAGTGGAGTTGGTAATGTCACATTTGTGAAGAGGGCCAGTATGGTTAGCTGCCCTGCAAAGTGCCTCCTGAAACTGGAACTGATAGATGGTGCGGGTGTAATACCTAAAGGAAGGGCAAGGAAAAGGGAGGCACAGGTTGTATTAGCTGACTGTCAAGGAAACCTGGAAGCCTTTGACCTTTGGAAAGCTCTGCTGCATCAGCTGTCACTCCTGTTTGGGAAACTGCACTGCAGAGAGAGGCCAGCTTGTATTTATAGGCTAATCTAAATCAAATTTAGCAAAATGCCAAGATCAAATGGGCTAGAAGAGCCCCAAATCTGTTTGTTGCCACATAAATCAGGAGAGAGTAAAGCTTTTAAGGTCCAGCTCTCTGCTCTGAGCCCTCTAAAATGAGGCGGCTGGGACACAGCAGACATCCAGGGCTGCATGTTCGTGGCCCAAGTGACAAGGGACACAGTGATTCTACAGCAGACAAACACCTCTTACAGAAGTGCTCCTGCTGGTTTGATGGCAGCGTGAAACTTTTCTGTTCAGCAAGAGGGTCAACAGCCTCCTCACTGCTCAGAGATCATTATGGAACAACCCCCGATGTGCAGAGAAACACTCCCATTGAAACCAGCAGCCTTCGGTCTGGGCTTTAAACAAAATAAGACTGGGTCCTGGGGAGTTGGGGATTGTTCTGTAGACAAAACTTAAGTCATGAATTAAACACTGCACTACCTTATGAAGGAGTAATCGTTGGCCACATGAAACAGTGTGGCAGGGTCACAGTAGGTTTCATCGTGAGGGACTGGTTCCACAACACCAACTATGTCTCTCCTGCAGATGAAGGAAAAAAAACAGGGTTTCTGTTTCTAGACAATAAGCAAAGGTAATCTGACTCAGCTTTTCTTCTCTTTTGTCTGATACATATGGACACCTCTCACTTGCAAACAGAAGAATTCCACACAGTCCCCAGTAACCCCATGCAAGTTCTGCTCCACAGCTGGAGACCACAGACAGGAAACTGTTTGGAAACTCATAGTGCAAGGAAGGGATTTTTCTGAGAGGAGGATGTGCAGGGATCAATTAGTGGTATGAAATAATCTGCAAGACATGAGCTTCACACAACCACCTCATGTCCTGGACTATCCCAAGTTTAGAGACCTGTGTTTTGTTCTGGGCAAGGGCATGCAGAGACTGGGCAAACCAAAAGGTAAATGGCCTCCTGTGCCACCGGGCTGGAGATGAGCTTTCTCTTTATTTTCCTCTCCTGAGACTGTGTTTCCTGAAAAGTACTACAGAAACAAACCCATACCTTGAGTTCTGAAAATTGTAATAAGCTTCCATGGATGTATTTTTCATAAACCTGTATTTCAAGTAGAGTGCTTTGCAGTGCCACTGCAACAAATGTCATAAGCTTCCCTGAATAATCTGTCATTCTACATTTCTCTGACATCTCTGCTACTTTTGAATACATTGAAGCTGATTGATTTTTACAGTGGGTCAGGAGGCTTGCATATATCAAGTTTTATTATAGATTCTGATTGCTGATGGAGGTTTACTGTTCATGTTAGTGTTAGAGTTCAGGCTCCATTTTCAGTGTGGGGCTTGTTTGGTTTTTTTGCATTTTCTGCTCTCATATTAAAACCAACCTGGGAAATTACAAACTCCACTCTGAGTCATAGTTATTTTTAATCTTGTGCTCCAAGGTGCTGAAAATAGACTGATTGATGGGCATAATCTGAAAAGGCACCTCTGGCTGTTACTTGCCCAGGGAACTGTATTTTCTTTACTGTGAAAGGTGGTATCTTAGTACACAAGAAAGGAAAGATTCAGTCTGAAATCTTTCAGACAATTTGCCTCCAAAAGCACTATAGGTGGGGAGGAGACACAAAGCAGAGAAGTGTGCTCAGATATTTGGTGGGTTGAGATCTGCATGCTTCTCTGGCTGGCAAGTACAATGAACTTCACTTTCCACTTGTCCTTAAGGATGTGGGGAGCACACCAGCACACATGACCAATGACACTTACAGAAGGGCTGTACTTCAGCTGCAAAGATGTCTTGGGGAATCTGTCAGGGGGACAGCAATGTTGATCTGAGAGAGGCCATGCAAAGGCCATGGGCTGTCTTTATCAGATAGCTGACATTAGAAACAGGGAGAAAGTCTTTTGAGAGGTAGGGTAAACTGCTAGGGGCTGTACACAGGGTTAATGGGGATACATGGCTTATGAGACATTGTCTGCATCACAGTTGGGTATTTCTATCTGGCACACTACTGGTATTTACAGAAACATCCAGAGACACAGTTCCTGCCCTATGGAGGCACAAACACCTCACCATGTTGAGTAACTGGGGTTGAGTTTGCAGGTTCATATGAAAAAAGTCCCCTTTGTTTCTCAAACTTACTTCATCTCCCACCACTGTTTGGTCCACTCCTGCTTTGTAATCTCACCCCTAAACACCATCCACCTCCACTTCTCCAGCATGTAAGTAAAAGGCATTGTTCCAACAATCGTTAGTGCTTGTTTGAGAAGAAAGTTGATTTCAGTTTCTGAAGAGAGAAGCAGTTAAGGTAATGGTTACAATAGCAATTAGTATCTGATTAGATGGCTAAAGTTGCTTCCCTTTACAGTTAATGCTTACAGCTCATTTGAATTACAGATTTTCACTTAAGAAAAAGTGGAAGGAAGAATATTACTGGAAAAAACATAAGATAAATTAGGAATTGTACACTGTTTTGTCTCTCTTTCTTTCCCCCAAACTCTTAAATAATCTAGTTGACATTGACAACAGTCAATGATAACATTTAGTTACCCATCACTGAGAACCTTTCCCGCCTTCGAGGAATTTTGAGCTGAAGACATCTCAAAATGTATAAAATGTGCATCTTTGTCCATCTAAGGCAGTACTCAGAAGCCAGATGAACTACATTATAATGAGGGCCTACCTATGATGTCACTCAATATTCACTTAAGTGTGAGATGTAAATCTCATGGTTTCAGTTTCATTTGAACTGCTAAATACATATCTTGATAGAGATATGTATGTATTCTTGCAACAGAGATTGAAAAGAGTTTTGGAGACCCATTTAAATGAACTATGAAGATTTAAGGATGGGTTGTTCAGTATTGAAGGTAGTGAAGTGCTAGATATTTCTTTTTAAATTATGTAACAGCATTGTAAAGCAGTGATCCTTGCTTCACAATGTGATTTGGGGAAAAATACAGTAAATTAGAGGAGTAAGATTTTCAGAAGCCTGTCAGTTGCTTGCTGAGTTTGCAGGCACAATCGTCTGCTACAAAATAAGGCCAGCAAGTGCTTTCATATAAATACATAATATTTATGCATTTATTTACCTTCATCATCTTGGAAAGTTGGCTCTAGGAGACCAAGAGATTTCAAGTGCTGAGGAGTGGCTGCAGAAAGTGACATAATTTCACCTACAGCTTCGTGGAAGCCCTCATTGGCACCACTCCTGAGCAGGTAGGGCTGCTCCGCGTATGCCATGTCGTACTCAATGTGGCCCATCTCGTGGTGTGCAGTCAGGAAGTCATCCATGGTCACTTTGGTGCACATCTTGATCCTACACACCAGAATAAAGTGTCTATGGTTAGAGGGAGAGAGGGCCAGAGAAAGGCAGCCTGAGCCCTGCTTGCTACAGCCATGGGGCAAAGCCCCTCCAGAGCTGGCAAATGCCTCTTGCAAAACCTGGGCGTCCTGGTATGCAGTGCAGATCCTCCTGCTACAGCAAGACTTCATGGGAAACTCAGCAAAACACCTTCAGCCACCTTGAAATTGTCCAGGGAATAAGAGAAAACTGCTGTTTTGTGAGAAGAGCTGCTCCCTAAAACCTGGTGATAAACTCACTGCACATGTGGACGTGACTAACCACCAGCAACCTTAGTAAGACAGTAATTTATAAAATTCTGTGTGTTGGTGACTCCTGCTACTTCATCCTTGTGTAGGTACTACAGGTACTAAATTTACTAAAGGAATGTCTTCCAAATAGAGTTTTTTTTCACCTTCCCCAGACTGCTGAGGTGGGACGCTGATGTGTTTCACTAAGGCTCTGCCTCGCACCAGTTTCCTTCCCTGGGTAACTGTGGGGACTGCAAGAAGGGTCAGAATTTCTGTGAAAAGTATGCATTGTGTGGGAACTTGCTGTCCCACTCCTTTCCCAGATGTGGAAGAGACTGATGGATTTTCATGAAACTGGATAACTCTGCTAAAGATAGACAGTGGACTCAGGAGATTTTCCCTTGCTGCCATTGTTGCAAAATGTGCAGTCCACAAATTGCAATGGTATCCACCTGAATTTCTGCTTTCTAAGCCCTAGAACATAGTAAATATTTCTCTAATTCATAAAAATCTTAGTCACATCTCAGCTAAAATTTGAGAGTAGATCTACTAGTAAAATTGAGTAGATCTTCACAGAAAAAGTTACACAGAAGGGTTTACAGTCTCACAGCATCCTTGCTCTCTTGTCTTCCTCTCCCCACTTTTCAGCCAGAAAAAAATAAAGGAGAAATTAGGAGGTGGCACAAAAAGGGGTCATAGCAATTTCAGTACCTGTAATCGTTTTTGCCCAGGTCCCATGCTGTAGGATGGCACACAACCTTCCTGTTGTCTCCGGGCTCTGTGAGCATGGAGTTTTCCCAGAAGCCCTCAGTCATGGGATCAAGGCCAATGGAAACAAAGAAGGCCTCAGCAGATTTGAATATTTTAATTGCATTCCATTTCTGAAAGAGAGAGTGCCACCATTAACCTTGGTTTCTGCGTGCAGCCTGTTCCCACTGCCCTGCTCAACACAGGGCAGCTGATTTTGTGTTTATTTCCCAGGAGCTTCACAGCTGCACCTGGCCCATCGACAGAAAGTCAGTAGTGTCTGCCTTTGGCACTTCTGTGAATTCTGCTGGAAACTGGAATTAAGTTTTCCCTTAAAATATTTGTTTTCTCTGCAAACAAAATAGGCTTCTGTACTCAGAGGTTCAGCAGATAGCACCTGACCCAGACCAGAGAAGCTCTCAATAAAAGATAAGGTAAGATAAAAAATGCATTCCTGGCAGTAATATGTCAGATCTGCGACCTGACCCTTCAGTCAACTTGGGGACAGCTCATTTGAGGAAGTGGAGCTACATTCCCAGCAGATGAGCATGAGGGATTTCAGCCAGAACCATAAAACCTGGCAAATGTATCTATGGGAGTTGTTTATCAGATGCATTAAAACTGCATGGTTATGTTCAGGATAATTTTGCCATTCAGCAGTTTTATTATTCTACCCTGCAGGCGCTCTGCATTTACTGGACTGAGCTCTCACAGACACCTGGGCAGCAAACAGCTCATCTGGATGAAAACCCCAAATGGGGCACACCCACCAACAAGGATGAATCCCCCGCATTGCTCAAAGGCTCTGTAAATAATGCTTCCCTTCTTGCAGTGGTACTTCAACAGACTCATATTTATGACTACAAGGAGGTCAGTAGTGTAAAACAGAGGTGAGATTAATGCAGACTTATGAAAACTGCTAATGAATCAAATTCAACTATTCCTTCTCTTACCAGCATACCATTTCCATGGACTGCTGCCTGAGAGGAGAGTAGATTTCAGGTGAACCATTGCATTTCAAAAAACAAATTCCGTCTATCACCCTTTAATTTTAAAAAGGGAGAAAGGCTTTGGCAAGACTACAGGGAATTATCTTTACCCATGTTCTTGGTCTGGTAAAGGTGCTGTCACAGCTGCTAGCTCTACAGATCCCAAACACAGACCTTATGGTGCTATGCAGTTATCAAAAGAAAACAGGCAGCACTGCAGTTTCTCTAGCTGTATACAAATAAACAAGACTGACAAAAATAAAACAAACTGTGATATACAAACTATTTGATTATGGTAATGACTGGAAAAGGTCATATTTGATACCAGCCCACTCCAGGAGTCCTGAAATATTTATAAGTACAAAATACATCTCTTAATGTCTAAGTGTCTCTGAGGAAAATAGACTTTGAGACAAGATTAAGGGGGTCAAAGAGGGTTCAGTAAAACAGAGAACAGCTAAGGGGATAGGTACATTGAAAAATGCATAAGCACTTAAAGGTGAAAAGCAAAAAAAGGGATGCAAAAAAGCAACACTTTGTTGGCAATGTGTCTGCCTGAGGGCAGCCATGGATTTCTAGAGAGCAGCTGATATGTGGTGCATAATTTTTATACCCTCTAGATTTGTTACATAAAGCATATTGCATAAAGGTATGTCTTACCTTTTCAACCATTGCAGAAGTTACATCAATGTTTGGTTTGGCTGGATAGGGAACAGTCAAGGCATACAGATTTGTCCAGAATCTACCCCACATATCACCTTCATAAAAAGAAAGAAACAAAGAAATACTTTAAATGATTTATTATGTATTGCTCAGAGGTGCCAGACAGGTCTATAAATTGTGCAGTGTCAAAAATAGGGACTCCTATTCATCTAACCAGGCCTGATCCAGTTGTGGAGGGGAGCAGCTCTGGAAGGTCATTCATAGGTCAAACTCAGATCAAGGATCCTTTTATTACCCAATATCTGCAATTCTTGGATAATATAGTTTCAGGACTGATCATACTCCTAAAGGTGAGTGAAGACTGAACATCCTTTTTGTTAGTCCACATGATTGTTGTGCCACATTCAGGTACACAAACTGTTACAGCAGCTTAATGCTACATCATTTGAAAGCCAAGTCATGAAATGTAGGATCTTAGATTAAAATTTGAAAGGAAGAACAAATGTCTCTGAAACTCTCATTGCTAAGGAAGACAAATGCTGCAGAGGGGAGGGAAATGTCCCAGCCCAGTGCTAGAGTTTTGTGATATGTGAGTTTTGGCCAAGATAAGAACCTGCCTTCCCTTCCTGCCACTGCTGCTAAGCACTTGTGTCATCTCTGCTAGAAATTTATCCATTTCCCCTCTACCCTTCTCTTATCTGTAACCTTTTTGTTAATATCCTGATTAAACAGTCAGATTACTCTCCACCCATGTGCCCTGAAGGTGATTGTCCTGTGCATTAAGTCAGGCTTGCAAAACATGGATGCATTGACATACCCAGCAAGTGAGCAGGGAGGCCTCCTGTGGAGCTGATGAGCTCAGGGCCATACGCTTGCCCCAGCTTGTGTCTCACATAGGCATGCAGCTGCTCATACAGAGGTTTTATCTAGAGGCAGAGGAGGAGAACAAAACAATTTTTTTTTTATTTTCACTTTGCTCTATTCCGCTCATTACTCCTAAACAGAGAGCCTTGACAGATAACTGCATCCCAAACCTGCAGCTGAGTTTTGCTCCCTGCCTGACGGGTCAGGCACTGAGTCCAGATTCCAGCCTCAGAAGTCCTGCTCAGGTATGAGGGAGGGAGCATTGCTAACTTTTGAGCTGGAATATCAAGGGTGCCATCTACCCCACGGACCCTACCTGGAGGGGAGACGTGGACCTGTAGAGCTCCCTCTTTCCCAGCCTCTGGGGACCAAGCTGGTCCTTGAATGACTACAGAGGTAGAAATGCCATGTATGTCTCCTCACATCTGTTTCTGTTAAACCCACATAGACTGAGATCAGCCAGTTTAAAACAGGTTCCATCTTCATTCATAACATCAGCACATGAGCCCACCATTTCAAAACACAACCCTGCAACCCAGATGAGAACTCTTCCTGCCTCTACCTGCTCAAATGTTTTCTCCACGTCATCAATCAGCTGGTCACGGCTGTATTTGTAATTCTCTGGAGACTTTGCTTCATAATTTGCTCTCCAGTAGTCTCCGTAGTCAGAATAACCTGTAGAGCATGGATGCATCACGTGAGGACACCACATGTAGCACTGCTTAGGTCTGCAGGGGAAGTGCAGCTCCCTGCAGATCCCATGCAGACCTGCAGCCTTCCCCCAAAGCAAAGCATCAAAATGCTAGTCTGGGTTTAGCAGAGAGGAAAAAGCCTCCCTGAGGGTCTGTCTCATGAACATGCAGGTATGGAAGATTTCCAGTAAATTCAGAAATTGATGTCATGATTATCTGCTAGTTAGGGTCGTTCTCTGATGGAGGTCAGAGGAAATCAGGAGTCCTGACTGGAGCTCCTGTGGCTGTGAGGCACAGCGGCCTCTGCTCAGGCTGGATGCTAAGGGTTTCTCACAGAAGGCATAAACCAGTGGACATTGAATATGGGCCCCCTCCTCCAGAAACTAAACCACCAGGACACATGCAGACACCAGAAGTAAAATTCAGCTCCAAGTTCCACTAAGTCTTCCAGTCCACTGAGCTCCATCAAGCCTGGAGTAAGAGTGACTCCTAGCTGAAGTATCTTGCTTAGTAGTATGGAGGAGCCCATAATGACTATGTTTGGGTTTTTTCCCTGTCTTACTATTTGGGCCATATTTTATCATCCATCTCCAGCTTGACAGTTTTTTCAAAACAAGGAGGATGGGAAAGCAGGTGATACAGCTGCAGTCTGGCCAAGAGACAGATGATGTAGTTACTTCAGAAACTATCTTAGATGATCCCAAAAGAAAATTAGAAGGCAGCTGCTGCTGTTCCTTGAAAAGACAGTTCCATACGATTTGTGGAGATCTCAAACTGGAAGAACACATTCCCACCCAGGCCTACCAAATCTGATCATTCCAGCTAGGGGATAATGCTTGTAAATGTACCCATGATTGTGGCTGCTGCAAGAAGGCCAAGGCCCCTAGGAAAGAGGAGATGTCACCAAAACTCAGCAGCACTCAGAAGCTGTTTAAATGGAGTGTGCTTGTCCATAAATCACAAATGGTGTAGTCCTGGGTGGTATGTAATGAGGGGCACTGATGAGTTATGGCCTTTGGGAAAAGTGCTAACAAGGAAGGGTGCCAACAAAAAGGTGCCTCTTGTTCCAGGCTGGGAAGAAACCTCTGAACTGGTCAATAACAGTTGTCTGCATTGCCTCTTTCTTTGAGACCTGCGCACCAAGAACAAATTATGTGCAAATTATGTATGTGTTTTGAATTCCTGGGAAAATTGTGTAAGACTGCAGTATGTTTACTAGTTTCTGGAAGCCAGAAGGAAAACAAAAAAAAAAAACCAAAAAAACAAACAAACAAAAAAAAAACAGAAAGAAAACAAAAAGTGACTTACCATTAAGCCTTGCAACCTCATTTTCAAGTTCAACATACTCTTCATATAATGGTCTCATCATTCTGCCAACACCAGCTCTCCAGCCTTCCCAGGCCCACAGTCTCTCATTATAATCAGTGCTCTCAGCCATAATAGCATCCAGACCTGTCAGAACAAAAAAGAAGGTACTAGGCTTTGAAAAGCAGAATTTTTCTTTCACAGCAGGCAAACAAACCAAAGTGAAAGAAATTCATGAAAGGAGAAGAAAACACTTTGTATTTGATATACTGAAAGATCCCACTATTTCATTGCATCCTTTCCTAATTTAAGGTTTTCCCCTTGTCTTTAAGAAGCAAGAAGCACATCATGAGTCTCTCAAATGCTCTCTCCACATTAGCTTCCCTTAAGTTGGTAGAATTCTCAGGACTGGCCTAACACAACATTGAGTCCCACATATCTGATGGCAGGGAATAAAAAATAGATTTTCTATGATATAGGCAAACCTCAGGTGACAGGCAGGCTGCCACCTGACAAGCTGAGCAGCCCTCCCCAATTTCTTTTTACTACTAACAGGAGACAGTATGTCCCATGGGCAGAAGGTCCAATGGAGATCCCTGAACAGCGAGGTGCAATAAAATTGTGACTAAGCTTTAGATAGCTGGAAATATCTGTTGAAATTGCAGCCTGTTATTTTGCAGTCAGGAGTCACCCTTTGGCTTTCTCTTTTTGTACCCTCAGGGTGAAGAACACGGTAAGGCAGTGGTTGGTGTCATACCTGGCTCCAGCACCAAACACTCAGATGAATTGTTGGTTTTACAGACAGTCCCAGTGCTGTAGATGGTACTCATTGTATTTAGCACAGTGCTCAGCTGCAAGTTAGATGCAAGATAGCCTGTTAGAAACACTCTGTGCAAAATAACAGCCAATTATGCTAATTCCTTAAGAGCTAGAATCAACACTTCACCCACCAGCTTAATATTTAAGCATATGTTTGAGCTCAGAAGAGATTAATGAAAGAATTTGCCTAAATGCATTACTGAACCAGACCTAGCTGAAAAAGACAGATAATCTCCCAAAAATATGACATAAACCTGCAGGTTCTTAATATCCAGTCAGACAGAGCTCTGGATTCAATGAGCACTGACTGTCACAAGAGAGCTGTCAATGCACAGCACCAGTAAAAAAAATAAAGTTTATCAATGTGCTTCCATAAGCATGAACCCACATAAACTTTGCAGGAAGGCTGTGGCTTTGAGTGGCAGCAAAAAAGGCCCCTTTGGCAGGTGCTGCCAGGATGACTGTTGCCTGAGGGTGTTTACATCACGTCCCACTAATTGCATGGATCTGCTTGGACTCCATCACTGAGAAGCTATGGCTCATGTCATGGGCCAGCTGAAGGCCAAAATGCACCTGAAATCTATCAGCTCTATCTCAGAACCTATGCTACATAGCTTTGTTTTAAACATTTTTTAATGTTTTCACGTCTTCATGCCTCAAGGAAAACGTGTATCACTTTTAGCTTTCCCTATAGGACTATGCAGTTTCTCACTTAGAGCTTTAAATCAGAACTTGAAAGCTGTCAGTGGGAGGGGTAGTTAGTGAGTAGCTCTAAATTTGTGTCAGTGAAGAATACTTAAATGTTCCTATGGAACCCCATCAGACTGTATAAAAAAGTCACTTTCCAACATGAATCAACGACTTCAGCCCCAAAGGCCATTATCTAGGAAATTCTAAGTACCTAAACAGGGAAGATACTGAAGAACATACATCCTCAACAGAGACAACATTAACATTGGTGCACTGTTGTGATCCAAAATAAATATATTTTTGTATGAACTGTCAGCATACCCACCAAGACAATCTCTTTTTCAGAAATGTATCATATTTGGATCAGACAAGAGATCCAGCCAATCTGCTGCTTCCCTTGCATGGTGATTAGCACTGCTGACCTTGACAGAAAAATCTCACCATTCTTCTGTAGTGAGGACTGTAGGATCCTGGACTGTTGGTTCCCATGACTCAACACTATGTTTCAATTTGATCTTCAGCAAAGGGAAAGCAATTTAACTCTTGAGTATATGGTTATAAATTCCTTTTGAGTCTGCATAGCTGCTCACTCCAATTTCACATAGAGTCATTATCCATATACCTGCCTCTTAGGTGAACTTGTCAGTGCAAATGTTAAATCTCATTATGACTCTTGCCAAATCTTGCTGCCCTTCATCAGCTTTCTGTGGAACCCTCTCCATTTTCAGGCATCCCAGGGTGGCCAGTGCAATGAATCATTCCTTCTTTTTCACAATGTGGTAATGTATTATGGCTGATCCATCTATAAGTGCAAGGACTGCTCTGAGGCGTGTTTGAAATTTATTCCACAACAAAACTGCTGACAGAAACGGCAACAAGCTTCCTAGGCCAGACTACCCCACAGCTCTGTATTGCTGTGAGCATCTAGAACCAGTACACTTCCATACCATACACTGCATCATCCTGAAACAAGCAGACAGCACCATGCGAGACAGCTGAACTCACCCACCAAAAATGATGAACTACATTCAACAACTTACTCTGTTATATTTTTCTGATGATAGCACAGATGATCCTCTTTCCTGGAGAGTCTGGATCTGGAGCTTGGTGAGGTCATCTGTGATGCTGTCTACTGGGAAGTTGCTGGCATTCCTGGAGGCCTCCTCGTAAAATGCGGACCACTTGGCACCTGCCTGGCTCTGCAAGGGGTTCACACAACCCTGAATTAATCCCTCCAAAAGAGTGGAGTGGTCTGATGCACTCAATGGGCAAAAATGTCACTTCTAGAAAGAGCTTTATTGGTGAAGAACACCCATGATTGTGGGCTGAGCACTTGCACTTCACGGTGAAATGGCTAGAGAGCTTTTTGGCTTTGTTTTATTCTCACATCCAGATAACCATTTTTCTTTGGGAATACCGAAAAGCATAACTGTCTATGCACACCTTGCTTGTTATAATTGATCCAGCATCACTTTGCTGTGTCTTCTCCTACTCTAAATCATGTTTTCTTCCCTTAATGCTTTTCTTCACCCACCAGTTAGGAAATAAGCCAGGGCACAAAGAGATCTGTGACCCAGATGTCAATTCCCATTTCTGCTGCAGTAGTAGAAAAACTCAACATGCAAGATAGTGATACTGAGTCTGTTTTTAAGGCAAATATCACTTTCTTCTGAAATGCTGGCAAATAAAAGATTATACTTAGGCAAAGGAGGCTCTAAAGAAGGTGCCCAGATTGGACATTGCTTTTAACACTTCTGCAATTACAGACCATGATATGTGAAACTCCCAAATTTCAGTGCACAAAGCAGCAGCATTAGAATACAATTTGGAGTTGGGACTGTCTTATTCCCCATTTTCTAATGTGTTTGTACACAGTTTAACACATCAACAACATTCCAAATGGCAACAAGAACAGTACCAATTAACCTGGGTCCTTGAGAGAGTTTATTTAATTGTGCTTATGCTAGGGCTTCCCAGCTCGTGGATTGGGCACCTGTAACACCTGTAAAACTCTTTCAGAGCTCTTTCAGGCACCCTTTGCCCCTGTGCAGACACACCAGTAAGACCAACACCTTCTGCAGGGCTGTACCCGAGTTGTTCAGCCCCATGTGTGACGGGCACAGCACCCACTGCTCCAGGCTCCAGCAGAGAGGGGTGGTGGCAGAGGTAAACCCATGGTAATCCCAGTCCCACATCTCTTCCATCCTAGCCATCGCTGGCAGGCTTTCCAAACTCTCCCCTTCATGGGAGCAAACAGTGCTAACACTCCTCAGCAGCTTGCAGAGCTCAGTGGGCAAGAGCTTGATAAGCACCCAAAGGAAGAGCACCACTGTGCAAATGTGTTCCTGAGCTCCTTGTCCTGAGCAGGAACAGAGAGGCCTCAGGACTGGCAGGGCAGAAGAGGGGGCTCATTGGCTACAAGAGCCAGGGGAAAGCAGTTGTCTTGCTGTCTGATATTTCCACAACTAGAGGAATTGGTTGATAAGTCAGAGGAATAGTTGTAGGGCTTATGACACAATTTACAAGGAAAATGGATGTGAAGGAGCCAGAAGGGACAGTATTCATTAACATTATTCATTCTCCAGCAGAATGTGAGGAGGAGAAACAGTGGGTTTATTACCAGTGCTGCTGAAGAGATCAAGAGAGAGAAAAAGTTCTCTCTGAACACTTGACTAAATTGGTTTTTATTGCTGGTATCTCCTCATGTATTTTATTATCATCTCATTAATGATGAAAATACTATAAAGGTCTTTCATTTTATGTGTTTGGAAACATTACAGTTTAAGTATCTGGTGCCTTGGAAAAAATTCCAGATTGACAATGATTAGTCATTAGGATTTCTTCCAGCAACCAGTCTCCTTGCTTTAATTAAGAAATATGATAATTAAAACATGTTTTAATTAAGTTATATGACCACAAAGTGAAAGACCGGCCATTAAGCAAAAATAGATTTAGGATGTTCAACTTCGCTTTTATGCTCTGAATTGTTTTCTCTAAGGCTTGAGTTAACTTTAAAAAATATGCCACTTCAAAACAAAGAAAAATTCAAGGTGGTTTTGTTCATTTTGAAAGGCTTTGAGCTTACAAGATCCTGAACTGAGGCATGGCAATATCAGTAACCATGGCTGCCTGCTCCTGCAAGTTCTTGCCTAGAGACCCCGAGGCTGGGGCAGACAGAGGCTAGTGTTGAGAAGCAAGAACTGTTTTGGAAGACAGGATAAGTAAAAATGCTGTGGTCCTTCCTGCAGATAGAAATGGATTTTCAAACCAACATACAAGACCATTGTAATAGAAACTCCACTGCTGCATTTGCTAGTCTGTGATTTCACTTCATTTTTCCCGGTCTAATACCTCCAGGCAGTCTACCAACAGCCCTGACTATGAGAAGAGTGATGGGGGCAGGGGGAAGGTCCACCACTGGGTAACTGGTGTGGGCAGCTATATAAATCCATCAGCAAACATTTAACAGAATTCCTGCATCCAGAAAACATTTGCATATTCACTGAGAAGTAAAACAACTGCCTGTGTCAATAAAAAGCCCAGTGTTTGTCTGGTCTTAGGGAAAGTGGAAGACCTGAACTCATGAGGGTGCAAGATTCAAATCCTGTTTCCTTGCACCACAGACCGCACCTACCCCAGGCCCTTGGAGAAGATCTTCACCCTCAGGATATGCTCTCTCCAAGAGGAAAGGGAAATGCTTTGCTTTTGGAAAGGGAAACTCCACAGAAAAACACTACACAGGAGGCACTGGTGGTGTTGGACTCAGCAGAAGAAAGCATCTCCCCCCATCCAACACAGATTTTGAGGATGAACGTGCAGTGTTCCCTTGCCTTTTCCCTCCACTCACCTGAAGTGATGGCTAGGGACAGTCCAGCCTCTGGACATCCTTGTGCAGTGCAGGTAGTCCAGGTACTAACCCAAGGCTGTAGAGGCTGGTAGTGGCCCAGGCACATCTGAATTGCTACATTACAGCAAGGCCCTTTACCTCCCCAAAATGAAGCACAGCTACCAGAGAAGTAACACTCCAACTTCAGCCAAGCTTGGTGGAACCAAAACAAACCAGAAAGTGTCAGATTCCTACGAGAACAGTGAAACCTGCAGGATGGAGCACTTACCATTTTATTGGCATTCTCCTCAGTGATGTTGGTGTTGTAGTTCCATGACGCAATGGAGTTCTCATAGCTGATATCTTCTGCTCTCCTGTTAAACTCTTCTAAAAACTCTTGGGCTTCTTGTGTGACATTCTGAGGGGCCACAACAGCGCTCAGGCCACAGAGAAGCCAGAAATGGACCAACATATTCATGTTCAGCATGAGAACCTCTCAACAAGTGGGTTTTCTCAGGTAAGCTTCTCTGTTGGCCTCTGCTCATCAGCCTTCAAGCATGGTCACGGTGAAGAAGAAAGGCTGAATCCAATTTGCTGGACCTTTTATAGGTTTTATTCATTATAGGAGAGAAAGGAAAAAGTTTTTTATAAAAAAGCCAAATAAACAAAAGTCAATTATTAACTTTGGAAAAACATAATTACTCCTGCCATTTTATAGCCTTCTTATAAAAGGCTTTTACTTTTGGTTAATGTTTCCCAAGTGTGCTGTCAATGATACAGCTGGTCACTTTATCTATAGCCTACCCGTGTCTCTGGTAGCTCAGGTTCTGTCAATCCTTTAACAGGTTGGTGACAAGCTGTAAAAATATTTAGAGACTTCACTGAAACAGCAAACCAAGAACCTTAACTCCCAGGCAGGAAGAAACTCCAGTTAGTCTGAGATAGGGTACTTGGTTGGTTATTTAGGGCCATGTTGTTAAAGGCTTCGCAAAGCCCAGGTGATTCAGGGAACAGACCTCCTTTTCAAAGCAATCAGGAGATATAAAACCTGAATTTTAAATGTGTCCACTGAGCCACCAAAAAGCAGCAAGAGACTTTATGAGATCACAGCATGTTGTGTAAATACCTAATCTGAAATATAAATCAACTGGGTTTAAGTACTAAGGTGACTAAGGCTACTAAAATGACTCCATCTTAATATTTAAATACTTTTGCTAATCTACCTCAGCAGTTACTGCAAATCAATGGGAATATCAATGCATGAATTCGCTCTGGAAATGCAGCTTGGGTTGAGTGTTATCGATCAGACAATGCCTTAGTATTTTTTAAATTAGCCTATTTCTGTTCAGGATCACTAGGTTGGTTTTGTTTTGGGTCTTGTGGGGGTTTGTTTTGAGATGCAACTCTGAAGCCACATCCACAGGGTTGGTTTCCTATTCCCAGCAGAGTTTCTCTGAAACCACCATGGGTCTGCCTCCCTGGGAGCAGCAGGAATCAGCCCCTTCCTTGCCAAACCCTGGAGAGAAGGTCCAGTCCTCAGGAACCCTTGGGAACCCAGCACAGCCTCAGCAGGGCCACCAGCAACAAGCATCTGGCAAGCACAGCCAGAAACCAGGGACCTTGAGGAAACACCTGGCTTCAACATCTTGTGGTACCCACCTCCTGCGGACCAGGGGTGACTGATCTCTCACATCCATGTGCAATCCTCTAACAACTGGGGTTTTTTGAGTGAAAGTTAACAACATTCACTCAACCCTTCTCCAGAGGTCGTGTTCCCTAAATTTCATGTTGATCTTCTTGGTGTCATCCAGATTTGCCACATTTTGTGCTTCCTTAGTGATGGTGTCCATACCTGCAAACAGCTGAAACTCTATCAATGAGCAGGAATCCAATTAATGGAACATTTTACATCCAGTGCCTTGCTGATACACACTTTCTTTCTGGCAACATTAGCCAATATCAACTGATATTCCAGCTGAGACCTTTCTGGTAGTGCTACTTGCTCAGCCGTTCCCTTTTTTCTCTCTGCACATCTGGTTCTAGGGTGACAGCAATTACTGCATTGTAAATTTGTCTGGGCTGAAGCACATCACACTGATTTCAGTCCATTTTTCAAAATTTTATGATCATTTGGAATTGTAATCCTTTGAAGGACTCCCTTGGCAGTGCTTGGCAATGCCTAAAAACCTGTTAATAGATAGATATTCTCTTCCCACATCCAGATGATATGGGATACAGTAAAGCCCAGGAGAGGTATTAAAATGACCCCTCTTCTTGACTGGGAACCACAAAGCCTGTTTACTAAGTAATTGTGTGCCTTTTGTGATTCTTGTCTTGCTCATTGCTTCTCAGTTTGCCAGTGAGACTGTCACACGGTGAAATGATGAAAGGTTTTTGTGCTGTTGTTTCAGCTGTTGTCTGTTAGAGCAGAGAATTATGCCTATTATTACCTTAATTTCTTCTTCCCCAGTAGAGAACAGGGACTATGTTGACCCTTCACTTCAACTCTCCTATTTTCTCTCCTGTGCTGGCAAGTTAATTGCACAATCACTGAACTGGGTACTTTTTAGGGTACTGAAACAGGGCTAGCTGATTCAAAACTCCCTTTTTACATGCAGGTGTTATTTTTCCCCCTTTACAGTGCTCTCCTTGTCCAGAGGCAGCCCTGCTAGCTGTCCCCTCCTTGCCATGGTGCAGGAGTCAGCTCTGCTCCTCATTCCCGCCTGCTGCCACCACCTGTCCTTGCACAGCCTGAAGCCCCAAGGGGTACATGCACCACCCAGGAGCCCCCAAATGGCAGAATACTTCTAGGGGATACCTGTAGGGAAGAGAAGGGTGTCCCCTCATTTTCTATAGGGCTTGCCTCTGCACCTGCATTTAAATGTGTGTGCAAGCACTGTAGCGAGCTGGAACAGCTCCATTGCTGCTGAATGCTGAATTATGCTGCAAATTCTCAGCCCTATTTCTAAGTTCTTTTCTGTTGCATACCTAAATCACAGAATCACTGAGTTGGGAAAGACTTCCAAGATCATCTAATCCAGTCCAGCCCTAACACCTCAACTAGACCATGGCACCGAGTGCCACATCCAGTCTTTCTTTAAACACATCCAGAGATGGTGACACCACCACCTCCCTGGGCAAACTATTCCAGTACTTTATCACTCTTTCTGTAAAAAATTTTTTTCTAATATCAAACATATATTTGCCTTGGCACAGCTTGAGACTGTATCCTATCATTCTGTCAGTTGTTCCCTGGAGAAAGAGACCAACCCCCACCTGGCTACAAACACCTTTCAAGATGTTGTAGAGTGATAAGATCACCTCTGAGTCACCTTAAATGCAAACCTTGATATCATATCTGAGGAATAACACAATAATTGCATTCCACCTTCCTTGCCATTGCTTTTACACAAGAGAAAAAATAAGCTGTAAGATGAATTAGCACAAAGCCACACTTTGAAAAGCTGTGTTGGAACACTGAGGAGTCACTGAGCCTCAAGAACATCAAACCTGCATAGATGGATTTGCTCCCATTGAGAAGACATGGGAGACAATAGATTAATAGAATCATAAAATCCTAGAATATCCTGAATTGGAAGGGATTCACAAGGATCATCAAAGTCCAACTCCTGGCCCTGTGCAGGACAGCTCCAAGGCTCACATCATGTGCCTGAGAGTGTTATCCAGGTTCCTTCTTGAACTCTGACAGACTTGGTACTGTGATCACTTCCCTGGAGAGCTTGTTCTGGTGCTCAACCAACCTCTGGGCTAACAGAGACTTGATTGTGTCAGCCTTATTAGCACAGCAGGCTTTCTGCAGATTGGCCAGGCTCTTAGCTGGGAGTGATTTATATAGCCAGAGTTGGTGGTGGCCATCCATGCTTGGGTGAGGAGCATTTCTTGTGGTGGACCTTCAGTCTGGTCTGGAAAGCTGATGAGAGCATGAAGACAGTTATACCACAGCAAAAAGGTAACAATAAACAGCTGAGAAAGGGAACTCCCTCGAGCCTTTTCAGGAAATTCAAACCTCCAAGGGCAGCAAGACAGCAGCCATGGGTTTGGGTGATGGAAGAGCAGCTGAGGGTTTAAACCGTGTCTCAGGTTTGAGATCCATTGTTGTGTGCGATGGCAGCCAGCCTGCTTGGCAGGAGCAAAGGGCTGTGTCAGTTTGCCACTGCCACAGCACAAAGGCTGCCTGTAACCTGACATGCTGACACAGGCTCCTTCTCCTCCCGTGTTCCAGCTCTCCCCTCCACCCCTCCCGTCTGCAGCGGGAGCTGCGGCTCCCAGCTCCTACCTGGCGCTCCCAGTCCTGTCCCAAGGGAACGAGTTGTCTGACATCTGCTGAAAGAGCTGCCCACCGATGTTCGTCTGTACTCTGGCTCTATCAAGGCAGTTTTCTGCCTCACCACTCATGTTGTTGGCTGAGCTGTGCTATGAATCTGGGACTGCAATAACAGAGAATTGCAGTTAGGACATGCCTCAATAAAACCCTCTATGTTGTGTATTGGGCACCACGCACCCTTAAAATGGCTTAAAATGCCATTATCAGGACAAATTTTCCACACAGAAGCGCTGTTTAAGTTCTCTGTAACACTTTTGTCATTCTGCCTAGTGCATAAAAGACGGCCAGAAGCTTTACTCAGTGGCCACTTTGTGGAAAAGAGCTCCAGGGGCTGCCGGGATTGCCTGTCCTGGAGCATCCCCAGGATGCGAGCTGCCGGGGCAGAGCCGCCTCACCGCCTGCACAAGGCTGCGGCCCCGCTCCGCCGTTCCTCTGCCCTTTGCCAAAGAGCAGCTCGCTTCAGTTAAATACCTGGCAAATCCTTGCTCTGAGGACTCCCGTAAAGTGGCTTTGTGGAGGCAGCGAACAGCCCAGCGGTGGCTTCAGCCCCTCCGCACATCTCCCTGCAGAAGTGCCTGGAGAGGGGCCGTGCTGCCCCGGCTGCACCTGGGCATCGCTGGGGGGCAATCCCCCATCCTCTTCCTCGTGCTTCGAACTGGGGGCTGGGCAAATAGTCCTTTTAATCCCCCGAGCAGCCTTTTTCCCACATGACTAACTCTTCTGAATGCGTGACATCCGCCTTGTGTCAGATGAAAGCCCTCCCGCCAGAGCTGGCACTGCGATGCTGGCACCCTGGCTCCCCGGCTCCCCGGCCCCCCGGCCCCCCGGCTCCACGGCTCCCTGGCCTCCCGGCTCCCCGGTTCCCTGGCCTCCCGGTTCCCCGGTTCCCTGGCTCCCTGGCTCCCTGGCCTCCCGGTTCCCCGGCTCCCCGGCTCCCCGGCCCCCCGGCCNCCTTGTGTCAGATGAAAGCCCACCCGCCAGAGCTGGCACTGCGATGCTGGCACCCTGGCTCCCCGGCTCCCCGGTTCCCCGTGGCTCCCCGGTTCCCTGGCTCCCTGGCTCCCCGGCTCCCCGGCTCCCCGGCTCCCCGGCTCCCTGGCCCCGCAGCTGCGAGCTTCAGCCCGTGCAGCAGGGGCTTTGCCCGCGCTGGGACACATCCCTGTCGACAGGAGGAGGCTTTCGTGAGACCCTCGTGTCCGCTCTCTCGGGAGAGCCGGAGCTGTGTGACAGCGAGGAGAGCGGGCATCTCTCCCCTGCTGGCAGGCACGGCCTGTCCAGCTCG